CCATGCCCTCAGCTCAGTGTCATATTTCTCTTTTCACTGTTCCTGGTATTTTTTCTGCAAACTGGTGGTAACTCTTGTTACTTCTACATGGTTTGTAACACATCATATAAAAGTGGTCTAGACTGTGTCACGCTATAATCTTCACATCTTTTTTTCTTTTTTTTCCTCATTTCTTGTATCATTCCTAATTTTGAGCTATTAGTTGATTATCTTCCACAGCCAGGCTGCTACATTTGATCTTCCTCATTTTTATTTTTGTTCTGAAGTAGCCACAAAAGTGCATTGTGAACCTCCCAGAGAAATCAAGTGCCTGTGCTGCTGTTTGTATGCGATCTCTTGGCATGCAGCACCATCTGAAGAAGTGATCAGAAGTCAGGAGGCTCTGAGCTTAAATTGTTAGGTCAACTTTCCTCAACTTTTACATGAAGTTAAGCTGTACGTGGTTGTAAAGAGAACATAGTTCAATCCAAAACAAGTATAACTAAAAAGGTGAGGTTGAGAATGTCCTGATTGAGAAACTGGAATAACGTTTTGCTATCCTTCTGTTTTTATTTACATAATCATTTCAGAATTTTATAATTTTGACTGTAAAACTTTGCGATTTAGCAGCTATTTTAAGGACCAAAGAAGGTCCTTATAGCCCCTGTATATATGTATCTCCAGCTGTTGGCTTAGCAACCAGTATTTGTTATGCAGTTAACCGCATGTCACAGGCTGCTCTTCCACCTCACAGGTATTCCCAGTTAGCAGCCAACATGGTAACTGAGATAAAGCAGAAGCTGAGCTCAGGAGAGAGAAACAATCTCCTTTTTTGTTCCTCTTCAGTGTGACAAGATAATTACCTTGCTCAAGCCATAAGCGTGCTTCTTATCTATATTTAGAAACGGATTCTGCAGCTTTTCTTTCACTTACAATTTTTTTAATTGCAATTTGGCAGAGAACAAAACAAGCCAGATTATGATTGTAAAAATGAAGCGGATTCTGTTAAAGTAGAGGTGAAATGTCTGAATTTAATAGGACATCATTTGTATGGCTCCCTCCCAGGGCACAGACCTTATCACGGCTGACTCATTACTGAAGAGGTGTTTGGAGAGGCTGAGGAAAACAGACATGGGAAGGTACGGAGCTCTTAGAATATATGTACTCATCGGTTTTAATGAGCTAAGAGCACTAGTAGGGAGGTTTTCAATGACAGTTGGCCTTGATGATCTTGCGGGCCTTTTCCAGCCTAAATGATTCTGTGATTCTCTGATTCTATGTATCTACCATTTACTAAGAAGATGTATGCTCCAGAGTAGATGCAGTGGAGGGCATGCAGCCCTCATAACCCCACCCTGTCTCCTTGCAGTGTATGGCCAAATGAGCATTTGGAACATCAGTTTGGTCTGCAGGGAGAAATTCTGAAACCTAGAAAAGAACCAGATGGTGACCTGGCTTTATTTATTTATGCCTTTGTCTCTTAGAGTTCAGGCTTCACTGTTTCGTACCTGTGGGTTGTGCCTATCCTCGTTCTTCCCAAGGGTCACAGGTGACTTCTAAAGGGCTAACAAAAGCTGAGAGTCTTTTTTATTTATTTAACAACAAGATATAGCAATTAACTGGTTACATGAATTGAAAAAGAGAAGAATAAAACTCAAGAAGAAAATGAAGTCCAGTGATGGCACCAAGCTGAGCGGGGTGGTGACACGCCGGAGGGACGCGATGCCATCCAGCGGGACCTGGACAAGCTCAAGAAGTGGGGCAGTGTGACCCTCATGAGCATCAACACGGCCAAGGGCAAGGTCCTGCCCGGGGGTCGGGGTGATCCTCAATATCAGCGCAGGCTGGGGGATGAAGGGGTAGGGAGCAGCCCCGAGGAGAGGGACTCGGGGGAACTGGGGGGGGGAAAAGCTGGACGTGAGCCAGCACCGTGCACACACAGCCCAGAACCCCCCCGTGCCCTGGGCTGCAGCCAGAGCAGGGGGGGCAGCAGGGCCAGGGAGGGGATTCTCCCCCTCTGCTCCGCTCTGGGGAGCCCCCCCTGCAGTGCTGGGGCCAGCTCGGGGGCCCCAACAGCAGAAGGACCCGGAGCTGCTCGAGCGGGGCCAGAGGAGGCCACGGAGATGCTGGGGGGGCTGGAGCAGCTCCCCTGGGGGGCCGGGCTGAGAGAGTTGGGGGGGTTCAGCCTGGAGAAGAGAAGGCTCCGGGGGGACCCTGAGAGTGGCCTCCCAGGGCTTAAAGGGGGGGCAGGAGAGGTGGGGAGGGGGGGGGACTCTGGGTCAGGGGGTGATGGTTTTCAACTGAAAGAAGGCAGATTTAGATTAGAGAGAAGGAAGACATTTTTTAAGCTGAGGGTGGTGAGGCGCTGGCCCAGGGTGCCCAGAGAGGTGGTAGATGCTGTATCCCTGATCTGGCTGAGGATGTCCCTGCCCGTGGCAGGGGGCTGGGCTGGATGGCCTGTAAAGGCCCCGTCCCACCCAAACGGTTCTGTGAGTGGATGGCAGCAGCTGTGTGCCTGCAGGGTGAGGAAGGGAGGTGCTGCAGCAGTTCCTGGCAGTGCTGGCAGCAGCACAGTCCCTCCAGGGTGGGGAGTACTTAATGCAACAGGTAAGTTGCATTATCTACTCATGAGGAGTTGGTGTTGTTGCCAGAAATTAAAAATAGTTGTCTGTGCCGTGGCTGGGGAGGACCAATCCTTCTGTAGGCTGCACAGAGATGGAGAATACCGCAAGAGCTTTTGATTGCACAGTGTTTCAGAAACACTGCATTTCAGCAATGACATGTGAGGGGTGTGAGACCATTAGGATGAGGACTAGGGCACGAGTGCATGGGAGTCTATTCACATTTACTACACGTGACTGGTGGGACTGGGATGGAACAGTAATAATGTGCTATAACAACCTTTAACGAATAGAACAAAATAGATGAAAAAGCAGTGCCAAGGACATGACATCACTTTTAACACAGACATGACAATGAAAGGAATAATTTACTCATAAAAATTATCTGAGCTTGAAAACCAAGTCTTTTATTCCAGAACATTATCTGGACAGTCCTGCTGACATCTGAAAAAAAAATTAAGACTTATTTAGGAAAACGGGACATCGAGGGTTTCCTAGAACGTTAAGCCCAACATTTTTCTAGAGACATACCATCCCTGTAACTCCATGTATTCTCTTCTGGTTTCCGTTTTGTCAAGTAGCAGCTTCCTTCTGCTGTCTGAACGAAGTTTACCTGCAGCTAATGCATACCCCCTTGTTCTTGTACCAGTGCGGAATAGCTGGCTTCCTGCCTTAATGTTTATTCTGGTGATAGATAGCCTTCTACCTTTTGGTTTTTAACTTAAACTTTTGGGCTTCTTCCCGTGTCAGAGCCTCTCCCTTCCTGAATATTTAGAAGTCTTTCAATGCACTTGTTCCAGTTTAAATTAGTTTTTCTTGCCTGCAGGTGAGTGGAAGTGCACGTAGTGTCTTACTACCTTGTGCAGTTCACACTGATCATCGCTACTGGCAGTACACGCACTGGACATTGAGAATTGCTTTTCTTTGCAGTTGCTTTGAGAATTGCTTTTTCTTTGCGGCTGAATTTCACTTAACAGCTTCTTCCTGAGTTGCGGTTTTCCCGTTTTGTCTGTATGCACACATACCCCAAGTTTGTGTCATCAGTTAATTTTGCTGGGATACTCACGGCGTTTGGTGCTAATATCGCAGATGAAAAATCTTAAAAAGCTGCACGTCCAGACTGACCCTTGAGAAATGTCAGTAGATTTCTCCATCCAAACTGGTTTCCCACTTTAAGGACTACCTGTTAAGCCCCTTTGAACCAGTCCTTTTACTTTATAATTACTTCATCTTCTCACATTTTGCTACTGATTTCCCACATAACAGTTTATTGTATCATTTTTATTACTGAAGAGATACCTCATTTTATCTGATGAGAAACAATTTACCAAGACAATACACTGAATTAGTCTGCGCATACCTTTGGCAGGACTGTGTTACTTTCTAGCCCATTTATTAGCATGGCTTCAGCTAGCCTTCACACCAAAACCTCCAGAGCCTTGCATATGAATGACGTCATTTTCTCTTATTCTTAAATGCAGGTAGAACTCTGCTGCGCCCGTTACCAGCGTTCTCTTGAGAAACAAACAAATGCGTCCCCTGAACTACAGCTCTTCGTGTCAGCTCTTCCAGAATCCGCTCGGCCGGATGCAGTGGTACGTATCCCATCCTCAGTGCGCACAGAGGAAGAGGATTACTTTTGTTCGGGGCGTTTTTGGGGCCACACCTGGAGGCTATCTTTAATCACTATCTTTTCTTCTTCTCCTCTTCTTGTGGTCTTTCTCTGTATGAGGTGGGAGATTTTGGGGGGCTTTTTTGCTAATGGTTGCAAATTCAAATTTGGCTGGACTTCCTGTATCCACTCTTTGCTCTGCAGGACACAGATTTCTTTACAGATCTTTCCTTCTCCATTTTATGTTCACTCTTTATACTCTCGATGTGATTATTCACACTAGTAGGTTCACAGCCCCTTCATGGTACCTTTCCATACTTGAAATAGAGATTGTTGATAATTTTAATGTATTCAGTGAAAACAAATCCCAGGCTTCCTACACATTCCCAGGCACCTCAGTCCTGCTGATTTTACGAAGTTGTTAAGTGCATTCAGAGTTCACCTGACAGAAATCGAGAAAGTTGGTTGCAGACCTATTTATCTGAATCCCTCCATTTAAGGGAAATCAAGTTGCAATCACTTGATACAGGTTTCTTCCCGTCTCTTTTTTTTTCCCCCCAAATCTACAGTTCAATGCTCCTGAAGTGTTTCGGGACCCCAAGAAGCAAGGCTTGAGGGAACTGCAGAGTGTTTATTAAGGCTGAGTATTAAACCAGAGTTTTCCCCCTGAAATGTGTTGAAAAACACCTTATGAGGCCAGAAAAATGTAGTTCACTATCGTTTATCAGGGTCCCTTGAAAGACAAAAGGTAATAATTGAAAAATTAACATTAGCAGGACTAACAGCCATAAAATCATATGCTTTTTATTTAACATAAAATGAAACATTAAGATAAAATACACGTTTGTCCATGTGCTGAAGAACTACTGTATTTTACATTCATTTATAAAGCAGGTAGTTTTACATGACAAAAACAAGTGAGAGGAAGAGGAACAGAATCCGCAATAAGACATAAGCCACAGGGCAGGCTTTTGCTTGTCAAAGTGCTATCATCTCCTAAGGGCACACAGATCTTCAAGTGACAGGTTAGAAATAGGCTGTTTTTAGCACTCCTCAGATCCCTCTTAATGCTGGTGAGAAGCTAAGGTGGAATCTTATACAGCAAAATGAGTGAAAAACTTGACAAGACAACCTTTGCCAAATGCATAGCTGCAGCACGATGGGCCGTGTTTGTCCCTGACGTATTGCTCCTTTGCTGGAACTGGCCCGTGCTGTTTTTAAAGGTCTAGAAGTTACCTTACTGAACAACAATTGCTTTTTTTTTTTTTTCCATACAAACCTCACCACGTTTCTTATTTAAATTTGACTTTGCAGACGGACTGATAGGGTGTGGGCTTATAATCGCACGGGGGAGATTTACAGCAACGGGAGGCGCTGTGAATCCAGCCAAGGCGGCTGTTTGTGGGTGCCTCCTTGGTGCACCTCCGCACCAGGTAAAAAAATTGCAACTGAAACCTCTGTCCCTGAGGCTGAGGGTGATGCCTGTCCTGTCTCTGGTACCGGTGGGCTCGGGGCATCCCCAGAGGCACAGGTCAATCCGTGCCCTCGGGAAGCGGTCCCGCAGGGAGCTGCGGTAGGTGCCTCGGGTCCTCGCCGCGCCTGCGCTGCCCGTTGGTTCCCGTTCCCGGTGGCAGGACCCCGGGGGCCCGGCCTGCCAGCCGTCAGCTCCTGGCCCAGCTCTGCCAATCGAAAATCTCTAATGCAGCATCTGAGAGGTCTTAACTGAAAGGTACAGGAGGCCAGTTGGTTTTATGTTTTAGGTTGGGAGAGGAAGGAATGGGAGATGCAGCAGTACCAGGGGTCTAAGGAATGTTTTTTTAAAAAGTGCAGCAGATCAAAACACATTGCTATTATATATTTTTGTCTAACCCATATATCTTAAATATGAAAACAAATAGAAAAGCTGTAATTCCGTCTCGGGTCTGTGGTAACTTTGCAAGGTGTAATATCACCAGAAGACTGAGATGAAGCTGGTCTTACTATGTACACTTAGCTAAAATCCAGCTGTGGGTACGTATGTATCCGTGCACACACACCTGCACAGCCCCCCACATATAGCCCCTACTTCTCTACACCCGCCCAAACAGCGGGACTTTCTCATAGTGCAACTGCTTATAGAGTGAAAGCCCCCCTCAACGTCTCAGTAGCAGGTTTTGACAGAGTATTGGGTGCCATCTTTTATTTTTTCAAGAGATTCCAATAATAATTTTATCAGCAGAAAAATATCAGTTGCCTGCCTTTTCAGGTTTCAGATTGGTACTTTTAAAACTTGACTTCTTAATGCTTCCTCTTTTCCCACCTTCAGTTTCCTTCCCTGTAAGTCCCAGCAACAGAGAATTGCTGTCAACTTCTCCAAGTGATGTACAGGGCTCCTGCAGTTGCTTGCTGGAGTAAGTGGAATAGTGTCAATGTCACTTGAGAGTCACCTAAGCCAACACGGGCATTGTGGAAGAGGGGCCGAGGCAGGGGCACTGCGCCTCCGACGCTCTGGAGCCTCTTCCACCTCGCTCTCCGCAGAGACGTGCATCCGCTCGCTCTGTAGGACTGGGGCCAGCAATTACAGGGGCTGGGGATCTCCTAGTCCCTCGGAAACAGGAGCATGTGGAACGAGCAGGACTTGCTGTTTACTCTCCTACCTACCTCCAGGGAGTAGTACCGGGGGTGCCGGCGTAGCCCCGGCAGCGCCGCGCCCCCCTCTGCACCCCCTCGCTGCCCGGCCCGCTCTGCGCCTGCTCTTTGCAGTGTGGGTCCATCGAGGAGCATCTCTAGGATCCCGCCCCCGATGCGAATGCACTCCTTCTCTCCTAGCTGCAAAGAGCTATCCTCCTCTACAGGGAGATTTTCACCAAAATTCCTACAGAGTAAAAACGCCACCAAATTTGCTTTGATAGTGTTTCCTTGAAAGCACTGGACTTTTGGTATATCGCTTGAACTCCCCAACAGTGCCGTAAGATTCTCACACAAGAAAACCGGCTATCTATTACAATTTCAGTGGCACAGCAAAGCGGAGTAGCTTCTGATTTTGTTTTGGTTGCGTAGCTTCCGTACCAGTCTGTCTCTTTGGCTATAAAGGCAGCATTGCTTGTATAAAAGATCCACCTCAACTTCTTGTCTTCTCACCATAGATTATTCTGGGTGGTTACGAGGCAAAAGGAACGAATATTAACGGAAACACAAACAGGACGCAGGACTGAAAATGGTTTGGAAAATATCTAAAACTGCTAAACTCTTCCAAAACTCATTTGCTCCTCAACTTCTGGCTCCCCTGCTACCCTGGAGTTGCTACAGCAGCTCCTGCAGCGGTGCAGTACTTGCATCCTCTCTCCCTCTTTCCTTCTTTTCCTTGTTTGTTTTTTTTTTTTTTTTAAACATTATTACATGCTCAAATCCAACCAGCTCAAATATTTTTTAATACATTGAAAATGTAAAATAAAGAATATATGAAGTACATACAGTATATATATATACACATATTTCAAATACTTAAAATTCTTATGTAAAATATGATTTTTCTATATTATTTGTGTAAAAATACATTTTAAAATGGTGTCAACTTGATTTTTCTGTACATACCCTCTATTCCAATTTAAGTCCCTTTTAAAAAGGCAAAAGACAAACAAAGGTTTAGTATCTTCTAAACTGTGTTTACAGGCCTGTTGTCAAAACAAGAAAAGCGTATGGTAAACAGTATCGGATTTCTTCTTTTTAAGAATTCCCATTTTTATTGCATTAATGGAAAAAACTGAATCTTTTCAGTTCTCCTGCTAGTAAAACTATTCTTGGCCTCGCTGTGAAACTGCATACTCCCAATACCCTGTTTATCTAGTCCATAAATCATCCTTTGTCGATTTTTTTTTTTTTTTTTTACAGATACTAAAATATATATTACTTAAAATATATTACTGTAAGCTCTTAAAATCGATCTTCGGTTCTATCAAATGTATAGCGTTCAAACCCGACCAGCCGCCAGCCCGGTGCTCCTGCCGCCCTCTCGCCCCCACCCGCCCGCTGGGGTGGGGGCTGGAGCGCCCGGCGCTCAGCACCCTCCTCCTGCCAGGGATTCCCGCGGGGCTCGGCCCCCGCACAGCCACACCGGCCCCCGTGGCTGCCAGCGCCCGGCCGCGGGAATCCCTCGCGGGGAGAAGAGCCCGGCCCGCTTCTCATCTCCCAAGCCTTCGGCTGCCGCAAGCCGTGGTGGGTTCTGCCTCCCGCCGCCACGCTGGAGCCCGACCGCCTCCAGGGAACTGGGGGGAGGCCCGGGGAAGGGCCGGGGCTCCTCGCCCTCCTGCCGCCCCCCGCGATCCCGGGGCTCAAACGAACCCGCGGGCCGAGCCTCCCCGCAGGGGAGAAGCCCCGGTCCCGCTTCCAGTCCCCCACGGCACCCACGCCGGGAGGGGACCGGCCCGGGACGGTCTTTGCCGCTGGAGCAGCGTGAGCGACACCCGTCAGCATCAAGGACCTGAGGAAACCCCCCGGCTGGCAACCCCCGTGGCCAGGGGCTCGCTGCCCCGTCGGCTGTCTCCTACTACCATAAACCAGATACAACTCCGCCGACCAGCGCTACCTGGTAAGCATCTCGGTCCTTCCTTTGGATTTGAGAAGGGGCATTAAAACGTCACACAAAATTCCCTCCCTGCGCTTCCAATCTCACTCGGAACCTGAACTGGCCTTCAGAGCTGCGTTCGCTCCTCCACTGCGACAACCTGCGCAGGGGCAGGGCCGCGCTGGAGGGTGACATTCCACCGAGCAGCCTGTACTTCTGGTTCTTGTGCTGCAGGACTTGCATGTGGCCCAAAAGGGGGAATTCACATCTGAGTGTCTTTTCTTACTCAACTCGCTTTTACAGCCACAAACATAGTTTGACATTAGGCTTTGAAACCATTTTATCTCAGATTTTATTATGACAGCATTTAGTGTAGTGCTATTAAATACATACCTGGGGAGCCAAAGTCTAATATGCTAAACTACGTCACAATATCCCTTTTATTTGCAAATCCAGCGTGAAGGCAGGTTTATTACCTTGCTGGAAGGAGCAGCGGGAAGGTCAGAGGGTGGGGAGGTGGCGGGTGCTGGGAGGAGCCGCGGCAGCAGCAGGTGGATCCCATGCTCCCGTACAGGCTGCAGATTTCCCCCTTCTAAAATACCTTCTCCGATAACCGGCACTGCAACACACGCAAAGCTCTCAAGGTTTTATGTGACCTGTACTTACAGTGATTATTACACCGAGTCCCATTATTCCTAATGATTTCCTAACTACTTAATGCCCTCTTGCGAACCTGGGGAGACTGTTCCACCAAGCTGCGCCTAGTAGCTCATAGCGTATGTTAAAATCAAAGACATGCAGTTAAAAGAATTTCTTTTCTTAAAAAGAAACAGAAGTAGCCCAAGAAAAGTGCTGAGCCGTTAAAATGGAACTAAGGCACTGAAGAGAGTTGTAAACTTCCAAGTCATCGCGCAAGACGCCAGCGCTGTCCCCCCCGCCAGGCTGGGGCCACCGAGACCTTCGTGGGCACCGTCCGGGCCAGCCCACGGGCCCCACGGGCCCCACGGGCCCCACGGGCTGCGAAGCGGGACCCCGGCCGTGAGCGGCGGCTTCGGGAGCTGCCGAGAGGAGCGGCCAAACAACCTCCCCCAGCGGCCGCTGCCGCAGGCTGGAAAGCCCGGCGGCCCTCGGAGCCAGGCGGCACATCGCAGCCCCCCCTCCTCGGGTGCTCCCTCCCCCTCGGGAGCCGCCCCGTCAGCCCAGGAAAACGACACTGATAAAAGTCAAGGTATGAGCAGTTGATCCAATTAGGCCAGCAAAACCTCTTCGCTCGTGTTTGAGGCAAGAATGACTTTTTCAGTTTAGTTTGCAACTAGCGACGATCTTTAAATCGGATTATGCTGGGGGATCCGTCTTAAGAAAGGAATGGATGTGTCTGTCTGAGGATTACACTGCTCTGACTCCTTTCATGTCTAGACAAGGCTCGAGTTAATAAGGAACGGACAGACCCTGCCCTCGGTACGCGACTCCCCAGGGCACGCAGCTTGAAAGCATTTGACACCGCATCCTAAGCTCTAGCAAAATGGCAGAAGTCCCTCTTACAGCAGAGGGGGCGGAAGCAGGCAGCGCGGGGCTGCTCTCCGGCTCGGTGCTGACATCCCAGGCAAGCCAGGAATTGAGATTCTCCCCGGGGCAGCGCCTGGGGATGCGAGGGGAGAAGCCACCCCCCCGCCTGCCCCACACGCAGCCGCCCCCGGGAACGCACAGACCCGGGGGGGGGGGGGATCTTGGGCTGTAACCGCCGCCAACGCGTGGGCAGCGTGACAGAAAAACGGAGCAATTTTTGTGTAGGGTGGGGTTTGGGTTGGTTATTTTTTGTTTTTTGAGATTTCCGTTTTAGAATACAAAAAAAAAAAAAAGGACTTTATTTGACTTTATTTCTTACACTTAAATCCTCTTCGCCACCGGATGTCTGAGCAGGGATGTGTAATCAGAAAGCAGGGGGGTCACTGCTCCCCAGTAAATTTAAGATGAGCAAAACGGAGACCGAGATACGCTACAGCTTCTGCTCATGCACGCGCGGTAACCCTGCTGGGGAGGACGCCGTGCTCTGCTGGGCAGGGAAGGAAACATTGCTGCCATGACGTGATTAAGTCTGCAACTCTCTTTATGCTTACCAAAGAAATCCACCTGCTCCGTGGAAAAAAAACCCCACTGCTTCACAGGCAATTATTTCTGCTCTCTACCAACAGCGTGCCAGTCCCAGGCGAGGGAGAGGGGAAAGCAGCAGTAGAGTCAAACTGAGAGAAGAAAGAAAGGCTGAGGACCCCAGCTCACAAAACAGCTGTCCCACCTATTGTGTTTATATTGCTTCAGCTTAAAAAGGCCTTTGGATTAAAAGTGAATTCAGTGCTTTTCCATCAAAAAGATACATAGATCTGTGACCTGACCAAGATGCAGTATGGCCCCCCCCGCCCCGAACGGCAACAACGTGGGACTGGACGCGGTTAGCGAACCTGACAGTCCTCGTTTCGGAAGAGAAAGAACAAACAGACCCTGGGCGTGATGCCGACGCGCTGCGACACATCAAAACGCAGACTGGCGCGTGCTTCCTTAGCCAGCCTGCCACCGAGCCGCGCTGAGAACAGAGAACCATTGGGTAACTGCTTTAATTCCGACTCATCAAAGCGAGCGAATCCGTGAACACCCGAAGCGAGGGTGAGCGTCCCTAGCGGTGTCCCACGAGCGGGGACGGGGGGTGCGGCGCAGCCCCCTTCCCGGCCCCCCCGCCCCAACGCAACCCCGGACCTCAACTGAACAAAATCCAAGCTGAGTCAGGCCTGATTTGGGATTCTGAAACACGACGAGACACCCACGGCAGGCTCACGGCGAGGCCCAACAAGACACTTACTTTCCTTTCCCTACACTTAGCTAAATATAAAATCTTCTCTAGCAATTCGAGACGTCTGGCTCTCGTGGAGGTTCGACTGAGCACAGTAAGCTTCCTAGAGAACAGCAGGACCGAGGGTGACGCTTAGTGCACTTCACTTGCATCGTGTGCCGTAAGAGCTGACGGTTCGCGACTCGGGGTGGCGCTCCCCAGCTCCCTCGAAACGCCCGAGGAAGCAGGTGTCTGCCGAGTCCCGACAGTCCAGAACTGGAACGCAGTTCAGCACAGATTTGGGATCTCTGCTTTAAATGGTTCCTGGGATTACCGATCATCGGTTACTGAGCTGTTTTAGTGATTTCAATTCTTGGATTGTATTGTTAGTACAGTTGCCTTTTTCAGCATTTACCAGTAGCAAATCAAGACACTACCTTCCTTCAGCCAAGGTTACTGCACCCGACTCCTTGAAGAGGAGAGGATATGCAACTCAAAAACACCAGCCAATATTGCACAACCCAGTATGCCTTCTGGAAGCAGCCTGGTCACAAGGGAAAGGCAATTACTTGAAAGGCTGCTGCGAGGTTACCACCTTCCAATTCTGAAAAATTTGAACTAAAATTTAGAGCAACAAGGTGAGCCGATTCAGGGATTCCTGCTTCGGCGCTCTCTGATCAGTCAGCACAAACGTTTCGTTTCTTGATTATCCAAGTTCTTCTCTTTGTCCAGAGAAGACCAACAACAGGCTGAAGTTTTGCTGGGGGTTCGTTCCCCCATCTAGAGCAGAGCTCAGCAAACATGCTGGATAGCAGGCTGGGGTTAATGAAACTGCAGTACAAGTCAAACACTAACTCCTAAAAGATTGAAAAAATATTTTTAAACAAAATAATGTGACATATTTACATAATTCCTTAAGTGCAAACTCTTGTCACAATTCACGTAGTTGAGCTCAATTTCGACTCACTGTACAAGAAGGTGCTCTTTCTTTAATGAAAGAAGAACTCTACTCTGTATTCCTGATTCAGTAACGTGTCTCTTGTGCAAGGCAGTAAATTTCCTGTTTCCTCCCAACGCGCTTCCGAAAGCAAAGCCACCGTCCAGCCATCCTCTTCCCCACCTCCCACGCCGGTTACCGCACAACGAGGCAGGAGACACAGAGCTTAGAGGGGCCAATGCAATCGTCATGGCAGAAGGCACCGCAGCCCTTGCACATGATCATGGCTTTCAACCTGCAGTAACATTTGGAAGGGGAATCCTCCATGCCGGTGTCCTCAGCGAAGGCTTGAACGGGGATGGTCTGGCTGTGGTTGCCAGAGTTCATAGCTTGGCTGGTGGGAATGGTGGTTACAGTCACAGAAAAGGACATGACGTTCCCCATGCTACTGGACAACTGATTGCACTCAGAGAGCCCAGTCATGAGGGACCCTTGGTTCACGTCCGGGGAGGTGGAGACGTTTATTGTGCCGCTGTAACTGGGCCCCAGGAGCTGTGCCGCAGCGCTTCCAGCCAGCTTCGGAGGGTGCGCGGGAGAGAGCAGCGGAGGCTGCTGCTGCGCAGAGTCCGAGGACGGCACGGAGGTACCGAAAAGCTCCGGGTTGCTGTGCACCTTCCCCCTCATTGCGTGTGCCATCTGCTCTTGAGCGGCCTGAATAAAATCTCGTGCTAATGTAGTTCCATCAAACGCCTGAATGTTCTCCCTGGTGACGGCTGCTTGCTGAGACACGGCTGCTTCGGTCTTTACACCCTTTTTAGCAAGGCTGTTGTAATCCGAGGAATTCATGCTATGGGATACCTGCTCTTTTTCACACTGACCAGAAACCTGTGAAGCCTGGGGCTCCTCTTTCACACCGATATGTTCACGCTCATCACCGGTACTCTCATCGTCTGCATCTCCTTCGTCGCTGCTGCTGCCATGGCCAGCTATCTCCTCGCGTTCCCCAAACTCTGGTTTTGGAGCATCAGCAGGACTGTTCAGACACAAGCGGTTTTCAGGGTTCAGGGAGAAGCCTCTCCTCAAACTCTCGGAACCACGACCGTAGGTGGAAATGTTGAGCAGGTAATGACCAGACATAGCAGGCTTGGATGTCCTTCTGCCCATGAAACCCAGCATAAATCTCTGGCTGGTGGAGCTGTTCTCTAACTGGAAACCTGAGTGAGTGAGGTTCAGTTGTGAAGGCTGAAGGACCGGCAACAAATTCTGCCTCTGGACCCTCTTGATAAGAGTCTGAAGGATCTGCTCTTGGGTTGTTTTGCTGAGCGCCTCATGGCCCGGGTGCTGCTCAAGGCTGGGGTCCTTTCCCGAGGGGAGCGGAAAGGTCCTTGGAATGTGAGGCAGAGGCCTGTTCTGGCAAAAGATCTTCCCAAGCTGTTGTGGGGGTAAACTCGATTGTCTTTCCCCACCCTCGGCTCCAGCGCCGTTCCCTGCTACGCTCGTAGCGCTGGAGGCTGCCGCCGCCCCTTTTTCTTCATGAGAAGCCAACGGGACAGTTTTCATCTCTGCTTTGGTGAGAGGCTTCGGCAGGATTTGCTCCAGAGGGACATCCTTGCCTTGAAGAAGTTGGGTGACCAAAGGGTTGTTGGCAGGAATACTGGAGCTTGGCTTTGGGAGGGCCCCGCTTGAGCTTGCCTGAGTTTTAAGGCTTGGCGCTACCGAGGAGGCGTCGGAGGGTGGGACAGACGTCGCAGGTGCGACCACTCCTCCAGCCTGGGCTTCCGAGCTCGCGGGTGTTGGTGAAGCCGTCGGAGGGGAAGGAGTTTGGCTTTTAGAAGCGTCCAGGCTGGTCCCTCCTAAGGCCGCGGGTGCTCCCTTAGCTACGCCCGTGTTGCTGTCTGCTGCGGACACCGCGGCACAGACTGTTCCATCCCTGACGGCTGATGCCCCACAGGCCTGGCCGGGACCTGCCAGAGCAGAAGGTGCTTCCTCTTGTTTGTCACTGCCACCAGCACACGGGGAGCCTGAAACCTGATTTACAGTCGTATGGGGGGGGCTCTGCTTTATTCGGCCCGTTTTCTCTAATGCCGATAGCGCTGATGAGGAGGAGCCGGCGCCTGGATCGCCGGCGGGAGTTCCGGGCCGCGGTGGGGAAGTTTGCTGTAGTTGTGCTCTAGGAGGATTGTGAGGTGGTGCCTGGGCCGGGGCCTGGGTCTCCATTTGGGTATGGGTCCCTGGACAATGGGGAAGAAACCTTCTCGAACTTCCCCCGCTTCCAGTTCCTGCCAGTTCCAGTGCAGTTCCTCGAATTCCAGTTCCGTTGGTTCCGCTCGTGGCTGCGTTACTCTTCTCTCCCCCCCCGCCCGGGGGGGCCCCGCCACCGCCGGGGCCAGGCCCGGGGACAGCCCCCCCCGTCGAGGCGGCGGCGGCGGCAGCGGCGGCGGCGGCGGCGGCCGCTGCCCTCTGAGCCTTGGCTTGCTGGGCTTTGGCTTTGATGTCTGCCAAAGTTCTGGCCCCTGTTCTTCCCGGACTGGCGAGTGAGATTGGGAAACGTGCCCTGGGAGAGACCTGGCCCGCAGGAAATGGCATTGGGGAGATTCTGGAAACGGGAATCTGAAACAGAGGAGGAGAAAAGGGCAACTGAGATACGGGGAACATTTAAGGCATGTATTGAAGTGTTTACAGTTTTGTCTTAGAGAAAGAGAAATCTCCCTCACCCGAGGTAAATAACAAAAGACATGTACGGTCTCTTCATGTCCGACACACCTATTTAAGTCTCTCACACTCTTAGTGACTCAGACTGGAAGCTCATCCCTTGCAGTCGCAGGCCGGCACATCGTACACCGGTACTCAAAGCCTGCCGAGCTCTCTCCAAAGAACCTGTAACGCTGTTCCAGAACTCAACACCCATTGTCCCTTATTCTAAGATTCTTACTTTATTCGTAAGTAATTTATATCCTTTTAAAGTTTTGTGTCAACCTTCTGCTTGATTTTGCATTGCTCTTCTACCGCTGCATATTTACACTTGTCTCCTCAGCGACTTTTATTGAGAGTTTTCCCCAGTTTTGTCTCACTAACAAATTTTATTAATGCTTTCCCGCCTTCGTGCTATACTTACTAACACAGGGAGAATAATGAACGGTTTCTCAAATTTTGTGTTTGTGTACTTCCTAGTATAAAAGAATCTTAACAGGAGAGCAGGACTCCTAGGACTTACAGAAATACAGTAATTAAGCAGTTTTCCATTTACAGCTCCTGCCTACGGCCCCAAACCGGGGAGCTGAACTTTAACGAGAGCAGATTCCGGCCGAAGCGGCGCAGGCCCGACTCTACAGAAACCAACCTCTTCTGCTCCCGCAGTCACACCCGACTGAAAAACCCGTTTCTGTGCCGGTTCGGCCGTTCACTCCCCAGTGTCGAGCGGAACGTCCCTGAAGGAGCAAGCGGTGGTGTCTGTGCGCGGGCGATCTCACAGCCCTTTCCTGGAAGAGTGTCAAAGCTCTGAATCGAGTGGTTCTTACCAGCGGGGCATTTCCTGGCACTTCGGGAGGAGGTGCGTGTTCCTACCGCCCGGATCTGCAGTGCAAGCGAACGGCACCGTCCAGGCCAGAGTCTGGAACGTTCCCTCCACGCTCCCTTTCCATCCGCCCCAGCCGAGTGGGGACCGACTGCCCCTTTCCTTTCCTTTCTGTGATCCGAGCAGCTCAAGGGCTCGTGGAATTGAGGTGTTCCCGAAAATAGTCTTTCCCTGCTACCTGGTCTGGCACTACACTGCATTCCGCTGGTACAAACGAGAACTGCATTGTCTCTACATGGTTTTTTCTTAAACACGGGTAAATAAGTCAGTTTCTGGACTCACTGTAATAGAGGAGGCTGCTGATAGCTTGCTTTCTGGACCTGTCACTGTACTGCTGGGGATACTCGCACATCTGCAAAGTTCTGCACCCTCCTGGGCTACAACCTGCTTTGTTACTACAGTCTCGCAGCTCTCCCCAGCTCCCACTGTGAACTGCAGCCCTCCCCGCCAAACCCTGTCTTGGGCTTTTTTTGCACAGTTGTTTCAGCTTCTGCCCAAGAGATCTTTTAACAGACACAAGCCTACGAGAGACACTTAACTGCAGTTATGCTGGGGGGCCAGCCCGCAGATTCCCTTTAGCGAGCAGCTGAGCTTTTACATTTTTGGATCAAATATTTCCATCGCTATAAGAGGTGGGTAACATAATTTGCCTACGCAACCAGAACTGAACGGACAAGGCATTTCTGTGGGAGCCACCACCTGAGCTGACCCACGTGGGGCCCCTCTGGGGACCTCTCCTCATCTCTCTGTACCTTGAGTGGGGGCACCCGTGGCACCGGGGTCCCCGCTGCGGGAAAGGACTGGGGCTGGCTCCGAAACGCCTGCTGGTGCTGGCAGTTCTCCATGATGCGCGCCTTCTTTTCAGGAGTGGTCAGAGCTGCCTCACGACTCTCCGACTTCCTCTTAGGGGCTTCTACACTGACTTCCATTTCTTCGTTCGCAGGCGATTTCTTTTCCGGCGTTTCTGGAGTCATCGCTGGACTTTTCACGTTTGCTACCGCTTCAGCTGCTCCGGGGCTCTTTGGTTTACTCGGGGCCAACACTGAGGTACCCACAGGCTCTTTCACCAGCGCCTCCTTCGATGCCGCGTGCCTTCTCTCTTCTTCGGGCTTTTGACTAACAGCAGTCTGTGGTTTCTCTGGAACGGGCTCCCCTCGGACTCTCTCTTTGGTGGGGAGGGGACGGTCGCTCGGTTTCACTGCACACCCACCCGGGGAAGCCGAGGCCTCCGCAGGTTTGCCTGGTTTGGGCTGCGTGTCCTCTCTTCTTTCTTCTCCGCCTTTTTTCATCGCTGGTGCTTCCTGGACTGCTTGTGCTTTCGACTCTAACGGAGGAGCAGCCTCCTCTTTGAGTGGTGCCACAGCGGCTGCCACGCGTTTTGGCTGTTCGGCCGCTGGGGTTTCAGTCTCTGGCTCGGCAGGGCTGGTGTTTGCTGTCAGTCTCTCGGACTCTTCAGGACTTAGTCCAGAACTGTCAATAAAAGCAGAATTTTTATTTCATAAAACATTCTTGCAAAAAGCGTACAATCCTTATGAAAACCGAGAGAGGATTCTCTACGTACCACCCTAATTAAATGTCTCACACAGCTAATTCTGTGCCAGAACCCCTGAAAACCTGCAGTACTGTTAGTAGAAACAGAACTTAATAGTGAAGTTTAAAACCAGCTAAATGAAATACAAGGGACACGGGTTAGAGCTAGTCCTCTAATCAGATACAATTTTTCCGGCTGCAGACCGAAATAATTTGGCTAGCAGTAAATACTCCACAGACACCTCCAGGCCCAGCCCACCGCACCTGACCCAAGCTCACAGGGTGACATTTGTGGCAGGAGACGCTGCAGAGCATCCCACCGTTTCTTCCAGAGGAGCACGGCCGGCGCCACAACCAGCGAGGCCCCCTTAGCCGCGAACCGCGCTGCCGCCTTGCCCACCGGCGGAAAGCTGCGACTATTCCCCTCTGTTGTGTTACTCACCCGCCTTTACTGGTGAGAGAAACGAACGAGCTGGGAATCTAATTCCCAGAGAGATGTCTGATTTGGGATTAACTTCATCCATCCCTCTTAATGAAAAAGCAAATTGGGGGTTTTTGCCCAAACGGGAACCCATGAAGTCTGATGCAGCCAGTCTGATGAATCTCTGGGATTGATTTCTACCGGACAAGGTCTGGGTTGCTAGAGAGAACTGAAGTCCTGCTACTGTACATGTCACCTCCACGCTGTCCTGCTGTCCCCTGTCCCCCACGGGCTTTAAGAACATGGCTGTCATCTTTTCTCTTCCAGCACAGAGCTCCACGTGATTCCATCCTGGTTTTCAACACTGGTTGAACTGGGGAAGTTAGCCGAGTAGAGCTTGTTGCTGCCGCCAGCAGGTCACCTGTGTTCCCAACCTGGTGCACTCCTTACTCAGCACCACGGCCTGCCAGGTGTACATGCACACACACCAGCCCCCTGCTCACGGGACCCCCCAGGCTGTCAGAGCACGGGGTGATGGAAATGGGGCTTGCAGTAACCCCAGGGCTCTAGAGGGCAAAACCATCGTAGGTGAATGGGAGGAAAACTGGCTGGCAGTCCAAGGACAGGCATGAAAGTTAACTGTCAAGATGCAGGGTAAGAAATTCCCTATTAGTTATTTATATGTGTCTGTTTGTTTTCAAGTTTCTTAGTAGTTACTTGCACAGAAACCAGAAATCCTCTCCGTAGCCCAAAAGGATGGGAAAAACTTGACACAAAAATAAACACAGAAGACTTGCAGACTTGGGAGTCGAACCAAACACGTGCCTGACTGAAGATGGGGGGAAATACACCCGATTTTACGTAGCAGGTGACTTACTGCCAGGCAGAGTACACTCAGCCACCACGCACCCATGGATCTCCCGCATCCCAGCGTGGGGAGAACCGTAAGAGGGGACTGTCGCAAAGGACTGTAGGGAGGCGTGGGAAGAGTTAGGATGTAAAGCCAAAAGGCCATCCTGGCCTAAGGGAAAGAGCCCTGTGCTGGTTAAAGCATTAGAAACCACGACAGCAAACACATCGCTTCTGACCCAGGCCACTCAGGCAGTTGCTGAGTTCTGCGGCAGCCAGACGAAGCCAGAGACCTTCTTCAGGTTTCAGGACTAATGAAAAGTAATGTTTGCTGCTGGGCAGCACGCTACAAACACTGCGAAGGGGACGTCCGACAGGCAGCGCGGGATTAAACAACACAGTTGAGTGTCTTACCTCTGACCATAGTAGCTCTCAAAAAAATGTTCCTTCCACAGCTCGACCTTCTTTTCCTTTTCTATTTCTTGCCGTATTCTTAGCTGCATCTCTGGCGTAAACTCACCTGCAAAACGCAATACAGGATATCTTCAGGGAAAGCCATGGAGAAATGGGGGGGGGGTGAGCACAGGCGCCCTCATGCTTGCAGGCGAGGCCGCGAGCGGGGCCTGGGGTGGCGCAGTTGGAAGAAACGTTTCCTGCAGCCAAGTCTGAGCCCTCCCCGACACAGCTTTGAACCGTTAGGGTTTGTAAGCCCGTGCGTTAATATTATACGAGTTCATCACTAGACAAGAAAGCTTGGATTTTTGACACAACTGCAGTGATTTGATGATAGACACGTGACTTTGAGCCTCGAGACTTCACTCATTCTCAAGGTTTATCTAGTTCATGCAGCATTTTGGTTGTGGTCTTTAGCACTGGAGGAGACAGTCACTGCAATCAGACCCTTTCTGACACTGCAGTTGCAAAAAGAGGGGATTCTTTAAAGTTGGATACTCCCATCACTGTGCAGTTTGCTTCTCAACAATTTTCTCCCATCAAATAAGGGATCATAAGAAATTCTTGCTGAGTTTGTTCTCCATGCAGTTATCAAATAACGTTCAGAGGAAACTATGAGCCTGTCTCTTTTTAGTACACTCTTATTTGCCAGCATTAAATCAGGACAGTCAATCCTTTTGTTGCAGCGAGTACAGAGGGCCCAAACCAGAATCTCTGGTACATCGACCTTCTCTTCCGTTTTTGTATAAGCTTGGTCAGGTAAATAAATACAGAAACTCCGTTGCATCGAAAACAGTGCAAGGCCTGCCTTCACAGAGAGAGATGCAGCAAGAGGGTACAACATGCATTCATGTGAAATCATCTCTGTTGAACCAGTGAATTCTTGGATTTTCACTGCCGTGGCCGTGCCGCCTTTGTCTCCCAGTTGAAAAATTTCAGCCAACACCTAAGTCTGCGTGAGCCTAGGCGTGCGCTGAGCGCAGAGCACAGTGGAAACCTACATGGCAGCTCGCAGTCCTGGGGAAGGAACTTTACTTGCAAACACCTGCCCGAAGGCTGGCAGGGACCTCGGGAGGTCTCCAGTCCAAGCTCCAGCTGGGAGCAGGGGCAGCTCGGCCTCCTCCAGGTCACTCAGGGCTCTGGCCAGTCAGGTCCGGGAAACCTCCAAGGATGGAGATGACACAACCTCCCTGGGCCCCGCTGCACTGTCCTCCTGGGGAAAAAGCTTTTCCTTGTTTCCCATCTGACTCGTGCCTGTTTTCTCCCATGCTCCTGCCATGTGCTGCTGGGACAAGCCTGGCTCCACTCCCCGGCCCGTAGCGCTGCCAAGGCTCTTCCTGCCCAGCGCAGGATCCGGCCTGTCCCGGTCCCGCTGCCCCCCAGCACAGGGACTGGTCCCCCCGTTGGTGTCCTCCACAGCCCCCCCGGGTCACTGAGAAGGAAGGTGAATAGGGACGGTGCCCCGACAGGCCCCTGCGGTCCCCACCTGGCGCCGGCCTCCCGGCGTGACCCGTGACTCCAATAACCAGCTGGTCACCCAGCTGGTTGGGCACCCACCCACCTACACCCCCCTAGACCCTCGTGTCCCAGCGTGGGTACAACAGTAGTGTGGGAGATGGGTACCAAAAGCTTTGCTTAGGTCCAGGTAAATGACACCCGCTGCTCTTCCCTTGTCCACAAATTCAATCCTTTTTAACGCAGTCAAGCTATTCCGGCACGATTTACCCTTGGTAAAACCACGCCGTCTCCAGTCGCCTTCCTCACAGGCCCGGCGACGTGCTCCAAGAGGGCTCGCTCCATCACCTTCCCCGTGATGACACGCAGGCTGACCAGGCCTGCATTTTCTCAAGATTTTCTCTGCACACGCTAAATAATACTGGGGGTGACCCCAGAGAGCATTGTTAGGAGCCGTCAGGACCCTGAGGAGTGGCTGGAGCCTGCAGGACTGCTCTGCCCGCAGTGTCCCCTGAGCAGGGACACAGTGCTCAGTGAGGAGGTCGGGGGGGCAGCTCCAGACCTCGCCCTCATCGCTGCAAGCTTCACCGCCGCAGCCCCTTCCACAGCATTTCACAACGGTGAGAAAGGCTTCGCGTAAACGTAGCTGCACCCTCCAGATGTGTAGACGTGAATGGACCAAAGGTCTTCTAAGAAGCATTAAAGGAAAAACACTAAACGATGGCGGCTAAAACTGGGGGTGGTTTTGAAAATTAAACAGATTAGACAGCTGAGTTCTGTGCCTTCCTCTTTACTGGCACAGATACACGCAGCACCTACAAAATATAAAGGGCTACTCATCAGAATTGGGTAAATTTTCTACGGAAAAACCTCTTAAGAGGAGTCAATCATCTCAGCACGAGTAAATGATACTGCCTTCGTAAAGTGAGTCATGACCGGCGCTGCGGTCTCTCTAGCAGCTCTGGTGGCAGGCGGCAGGGCCCGCGCCCGCAGCGGAGGGTCCCTGCGCGCAGTGCGTGAGCACGCCTCGGCTGGTGCCATTCCATCCCTCCAAGTTCCAGATGCAAATGACCGTTGAAGGTGCAGGACTCCTGTAGATTAGTAAATGTCTGACTTTGTGTTACAAAACGTTATGGCTCAAGGGACTGAGCAGGCCGTCCGTGGCTACGGCAGCTTCGCTGAGGACAGCGCATTACTCTGCAGGGGAGTTCACCTTCTCTACTGGGTTTAGCCATGGGCTACGCTTAGCTACCACAGCTTGAGAACAACACAGCTTTACTGTCACTTCAGTGAGATTTTAAACACATTTTTTCTCATCTGTTCCAGACACTTGTTCACTTTTCCATGCTAAGTTCAGAAGAGCACTCCTTACTGCAGCCCTCTCTGACCCTGAGGTGACACAGTTCTAGGCTTGCGTTTGCTCTCATGGGCCGTGTTGACTACTTGACCTAGTAAGCCACTCCAGTGCTTCAACTTCTCTGTGAAGTATCTTTTACACATCCCCAAAACATTCACTAGCTGAAAGCCCTCTAGTGCTTTGTTTCACTGTCTGGGTAAGTCTCACCTTCTGACAACCTCTCCTTCCAGCCTTGGGCAGCGGACGTGAAGAACTCGTTGTTGAGTGCGGAGCCACTCAGCTTCATCAAACCATCTGCCCCAACCTGCAACACATAACACAGCAAAGAGGATTAACTAGCTGGAAAGGCAAATGCCACACCTTGTCACATGGGATCGGAAAACACAGCGAGAGTCCCAACGTTGCCACAAATCTCTCTGGAATCTGCCTTTAACTCACTCCGAAGAAAATAAGGAGCCGCCTTAAGGCTGTGCTTAGCCAGGTCTGGGGGCCCGGAGGCTGTGGCAGATTCTCCTCGCCCTTGCTTTAGCCCAGTCCTCTACAGTGCTGCTGCACAAGCATACCCGAGCAGCAGATGGTACAGGTGGCAAAGAGAAGCACAAGGAACAGCAAAGCTGCTTCAGGTGCCCTTTCCCCTGCAAAATGAATGTACGATACCGCCTGAACTACCGCCCGCAGCAACAGCTCTGCTGTCTTCTGGCGAACGTAAAAAAAGTGCCCGAAGGAAAAGCAAGGACATAAAAGGTATCATATAAAAGTAACTTTGAAATTTATGTAGTCCTAACCATGGATGCTTCAGCAAAACCAGGGACAAGTGAAGCTCAAGACCCATTCCGTCTTTGAAATACGGCTAACCAAAGAGGGCAGTCGTGCTATAGAGTGGGACAGAAATGAGAAAGCATGAGGCTGAGGCTGGGATGCAGCGTGGTGGGAAATTGTAAGCAGGATACTCAAACATAGATGAGGTTTGCTTTTGCTCTTTATCCCACAGAAATAAATGTTGAATTTCTCTACCAGAAACACAAAAATACACGTATCATTCAGTAAGTTGCAAAAAACCTGCAGTGAGCAAACAGATGTGCTTCTAATTCCTTGTGTAAATAATAAATCAGAACAAACAAGCAAAATCCAACTGCCCACATGTAGGCTGCAACTGCTTACACTGGGAGATCTGTGCCTCAAACAGTCAGCGGTGCAAGATTTCATAGAAACAGCACTTCTCCTGAGGCAGCATGTGTGATGCAGGTGATTGAAACGATCTAATAGAAGGTTTTGTAGGTAAGATTTAGCTGGAGATTTTAAGTTAGGAGCAGCCATTACAGGGATTATAAAAGATGAGATTTATTTTCTAGTCCAAAATCTCTGTTGATCAACTAGAGGGAGCAGAATAAACAAAATATCCCCTATCACCCACAGGGTGCTGCCTGCCCTTGTGCTGGAGGACAGGCAACTCCCGCGGGGCGGGCCTCAAAGCGCCCGCTTTCTCTTCTACAGAAGCACCAGCTGTAACGGCCCAGGCTGAGTCAAAACACAACAGCTACGTGACCTTTCTCAGCTGGCACGTCCAACCTTCACCTCTTCTCCTGTTTACGACAGCAAAGCCTGACATTTTATAAAGCACGCATCACCGCTCGAGGCGGTGGGCTGCTCTAGGAGATTTACTCCAGTGAAATGTAAGATTTGTCCTCTCAGGAGCCAAGCAATATTCTTTAGTTAGTCAAAATTTGTCCTCAGTCAAATTCTAATTCAATTTAAGGACAATTAAACTTAAAAGTCAGGACAGAAATGTCTTGCCATCTGCTGTGAGGTTCTTGCCAGTAAACTCCAGCTGCAAACTCCATCACATCATATTTTGACACATACCTAATTATTACAAAGGCCACAGGACTTATAAAACAATTCCTTCAAATATTTATTGGATCAGCCTTGGACTAACAAGTCCCTGATGAATGCTGATTGAAGATTAGAATTTATGAGACAACATAAACTGCTAGAACTCCTCCTAACTCCCAGTGAACGCTATCTGTCCAGCAAAGCATCCTCTGTAAAGCAGAGCACAGTGCAGCTGCCAGGCCCATGCGCTTTATTAACATTTTGTAAGAACCAAAAGAGCAGCACGGCTGCGAAGATGGATTTAACCTCACTAAACACGGATGTCTGCGCTACAAGTGTCTGTGGCTGAGCCGGTGTCTCTGCAGTTTGCAGTGATCGGGGCAGCCGAGGGTAGGGAGATGGGGACGCAGTTCACCTTGTCCTGGAGCAGACACCTGTATTTGGTCACACTGTACCAGCTGGATTTCCACTTTCTATAAAAGGAGCCCAGAGCACCTCGCTGGGGCGGAGGCTCCTGGGAGGTGACTGAGCGGTGCCAACTCCTAATCTGAACACCACACAGAAAAGTATCTTCATGGGCCTTGCAGGTCTGAGACAGGACACACGCAAGATTTCCACCTGGAGTGGCGTCTTGAAGCCAGCTTTGATACCATACCAAAGGCACGTTTAAAATGGCTCTAGGCACATATGTTAAGGCCTCGGAATTAACACCCCTACAACTGAAGTGGAAGCACAGCGCAGGATCTCGCTTTGCTCTGGAGCTCCAACCCAGATGGGGTAGGAATGCTGCAGACAAACGTAACATGTGACTGAGGTAAAAGGAAGGAAGCGTCCTTGTTCTGTCTACAACCTCTCTGGTATTGGGCACAAACAGATTGAACTTCACTTCCTCAACTCAGTGGTTTTTTCCTCCTTCTTACATGTAAGTGCAACATCTGTTCTTTTCTCGCCTCTGTCACCCTGCCGTCCACAACCTGCTGAAGAAAACCGCTATAATGCTGAGACGGCTGCAGGCAGTTCTTTTATGTACCCCCTCGGATGAGATTCATCACATCCAGCTGAGTTGAAATAACTGTCTTATCAAAGATCCTCTTAGCTGTTCTTCCAGTACTGAAGCTGAGTTCTTAGCCCCCTGTCACTCACGTTAATTGTTCCAGTTATCACCAACTATTTAGTGAAGAGCTCCATGAAAACCTTTTCCCATTTCTTCTGTGCCACGCCCAGAGTAACTGAAGCCATCCCTCCCCATCAGGTACTTTTCTGCTTTTCCAAATTCCTCTCTTCACACACAAAGAGGTCTTAGACAGACCACCCACAAAAATAAAGTGCCTTCAAGGCTGGCTCACACTGCACGCTTGGTACCTTTAATCTAGTGCGGTTTCGGATCAGGACACAAGCTCTTTGGAGCAGGTCAAGTCTACTCTGCAGTCTGGACAGTGCAGTAGAAAACTCATTCAGCTCTCACTGTACCAAGTTCAGAATTTGACAGCAGTGACACAAGGTCATGAGAAATGAGAATGGTGGAACTAACTGGCAGCATCTGGTCAGGTATTCCGTGGGAAGGCACCAGGCTGCAGGGTTAATCCCGTGTTGAAGAGCCTGGGAGAGGACAGGGCGACGCTGACACCGCTGCCTTCCCATCACTCCTGGCCCTCCTCAAGCCCAGCGTAACGGAACCACTGCTCTCGCTGTGGCTGAGAATATGGTGTTGATTAAACACAATTAAGCCACTGGTTTATCAAACCCAAATTCTTTTTTTTTTTTTCTGGTAGCAACAAATACCCAAACAAATCACTGGAAATTTTTCCAGTGTTTTTTTTTTTTTTTTCACACTGTGCACAGAAGAAGTCTATCCTGTTAGACATAAGGCCGGTACTTGGCTGTCCAGTCCGAATCACTGCTGGGGACGCTCCCTACCGACGCCTGAGGGCTGAGCTCCCCTCCACAGCAGAACCCACGACGTACCTGCCTGTCCACCTCCGGCAGCAGCAGCAGCAGGCGCTGCTGGCATTCCGTGGGCAGAACAGAGAACGTATGCTTGTTGATCAGCGCCCGCAGGTTTGTGTTCACGAGGATGGAGTCGGGAGTTTCCACATCGATTTCAGCACACTTTGTTCTCTTCAGCTGCCCTGCAACGAACCGCAAGGACGTAAGTCACATCTTACCTGGGAGAGGATTAAAGGCTCCTTTGGAGTTCGCTGGACCTGAGATTTTCAAAATGCCACTCCAGTAATCCATTTCATACCTTGACTTGAAATAGACGTTTTACTTTTGCACATACAGTTGAAAACAAAATGTGGGAGCTGCTTTCCAGCACAGAGAATTTCCATACCTAATATATTGTAGCCTGCATCCCTGCTGTAGGAATGCTGGCTATCTGGGGACAGGCAAGGAGTCTCTTTCAGGAGGGTTTCTAGAACTGCTTTTGGCCACATCAATTTTCTATTATGAGCCTCTAGTTAAGGTCAGTTTGTTCCTCAGGATTTCTTCTTGGACTTTTCTACTTTGTTCTCAGCAAATGCATTTCAGAAAAATTCATCAGCTCATTGTGCTTGCATAGAAACCACAGCACGAGACGAAGTTGTAAAAATGAGTTAGTTACTACACTCTTTCCTTTTCTGTGTTTGAAAGCCAGCAAGTCCAGCATTAACCCTTACGCTACAGCCAGCTTCAGTTACGTGCTGCCAATTCAGAGAAGAATAATGAAGAAAGCATTTGCACTGTGCACTCTGTTTCCTGGGAAAATACCATGTGTTTTGAAGCTTAGATTAAAAGTGCATTATTAGAAAAAAGGTAATACTAAGACAGACCCTGCTCTCCCTGGCTTCAGGGATGACTGCAATTATTTTTCAGGTAATAGTATCTAACAAAATAAATGCCATGGAGGCTTGTTTCATTTGGGGAAATTCGCTCTATTAGAAGTCATGCAGACGTTTCAAATGCAAATTTGAATTCAAATTCAAATGCAGGTTTATAATCTACTTAAGTTCCAGAATTTCCTAATTACAGGGGACAGATGAAACACGCCCTGAGAAGTGCCTATCTTCACCAGTGATAAAGAAACCCCGGGATCATTAGCACAGATAGAGACTGCAGAATATCCTTCAGTTCACAGAGGTCAATTCCATCGTTGATACACGTAAAAGAAACTGCAAAATGTCAGGAGGGCCGAGAAAGACCTCACCTCAGTGAATGGGAAGGAAGCCAAATAACAGTGGGGTCTGAAGTATAAAGATCTGGGAAGGAATTTCTTTTTATTTTTGAATGTTATCAGAGTGTTTCAAGTATATTAAAAAGCCTGCTAAATAATACAAGTCCTTTTGTGCTTCTCAAACAGCAAGCTGCAAAGTCACAGGTAGAAACCCCTGATGATAAGAAATGAGAAAAGGCTTATTTGCATAGGGAAGGTTTGCATTATTTATCCTAATTCACACAGCATACTAGCAGGACCTCACAGAGCTGTCCAGAAGTCTCTTTAGCAACGGAATTAATTACACATTTTACTCAACTTTGCTATTTAGGCTTTTGTTCTGTCATCAGAGCAACCAAATCTCTGTAAGCAGAAAAATAAGTATCTTACTTGCATGGAGCCTGTCAGATCTCTGGAATGGTTTCTTCCCCAACCCTGGCAAGGAGTTATCAAGCTTAACAGAGGGAGAGGAACTGGAGGTGGAGTTCTGAGGGCTGCTCGACTGTCCATCTGACTGCTTTCCTTCCCAAGCTGCACAGGAAATTGAAACATTTAAACACAGGGATATACAAAGAAATATTACATGAGACATCTGTTTGGACTGAAATAAAGATTCTTTAACATGCACATCGAATCCTAGCGGCTCTGGGACAAGCACTTCTAGGATACTTAGAGTCCTTTGTTCCTGTAGCACCTACTTCCCAACAGGCTGAAAGTAGAGGACCCCTTTGTAGCTACCAGACTATCACAAATAAAGGGACGGAGAGCCATTTCATTTATGGGTTGAGTCTATTTCCCAGTTAGTCTCATCTTATTTCCCATCTATATCCAATCCAGTAATGATCTTGTTAAAACTTCCTTTCAGAGGCAGTTTCAGTTGCCGTTAGAGCTCACTGTCAGGAAAAATGTCTTCATGCTTTATGTGTACTTTCTAAATTTTAACCTACTATTGTAGCTTTTGTTCTTTTAGACCACCCTCAGTAAATCCTCCTCCTCTTTCAAATACTCAAGAGATATTTTCATGTCCTCCTCCAAAGTCACCACTTAGCCAAACTAGACAGATTTCACCACTATGATTTCTCCTTACAAACCACTGCCACCCACATTCTCTTTTGTACAGCAGTATTTTTTCTGCCAGTGGGAAGAGCTTCTTCCCTAGATTCTCCCTGCCTTCCTTTCCCTCCTCTTCTTAAGTGAGATGAATTAAGAACAAGAGCTGGTCTTCCCTCTGATCTCTTTTGGTTTATGTGTACCAGCAGGTAACTCACTCAAATATGGAGAGGTACTCAAGTCCCATACCTTGAAACTCCACAACACACATGATTGAGTCACAAACTGAACGAATGCTGGCTCTGCTTAATGACTTGCACTAATCATTTCCTTCACCCAGTCTGTGTCAGCTTTGTTGCCCATCTGCCTCTCTTACTCTCCTCTCTGCCTGGTTCCTTTCCTCTTCCTTACACTACCTGTTCCAGTTCTGACTAAATACATCCCTGAAACTCTGGGATCAGTTTGTTGCTTTCTATCAGAATATTGTTCTCTCTCCACTTGTGTGCTTAACTAACTTCTCCATCCCAATATATCCCACTGTCCCAGGAGTGAGCTATTTCTGTGTACTATCCCATGGACAGAAGGGGATAAAAGGACTCTGTGGATGCTGACGAAAAACACACACGCCACTCATGTTGCAGCAACGCTCAAAGGCTTTTACAGCAATCAGTGTTCAGTCAAACTGGGGGCTGCATAAATACACACTGTTCTTACCCTAAATCGGTCAAATGAGGTGATAGCAAAAGCCGAGGAATACGGCTTTCCTGAGACCACGTGGGAAATTAGTTTGATCCTTAACTTCTTTCTGTCCCTCACAATCTTTACGGTAGGAGAGCTCATATGGCTGGATGCTGGCATGGATAGACACCAACGCTCTGGGAAAGGCAGGCAAGGCAGCTGAGTCAAGAAGGTTGGCTTTACCCGTACAAGCCCACGGGACAACACAAGCTGAACCCAAAGGTCCTGGGGGAGCCCACCAGTGTCCTTACAAGGCCCCTCTCTACCATCTGTGAAAAGAAATGAGGATCGCGGGAGATTCCCCACAACTAAGAAAGGCAAATGTTGCACCCACATTCAAAAAGGGCCCAAGAGACAATCTGAGAACTGGTCAGTCTCACTTTTCTCCCTGGGAAAATCATGGAGTGACTCCTCTTGGAGCACGTTTCTGGTCACACAAAGGAAATAGTGAAAACTGGAAGCAGCCAGCATGCCTTTACCATGGGTAAACCACGCCTGACCAGCTTGACTGCCTTCTGTGATCAAGTTATTGGGTTGGTGGATGAGGGCAAAGAGGTGGATGCCATCTGCCTTGACTTTAGCAAGGCACTTGTCACTGTGTCCCACGACGCTGTCTGTGAGCTGGGACGTTAGATCAGGATGGGTGGACAGCCAGGTGGGTAAGCCGCGGGTGAGGTGGCCGGGCTCGGAGCGGCACAGCCCGCGCTCTGCCTGGAGGCTGGCAGCACGCGAGTGCCTCCGGGCACCGGTCCGGGCTCCCTCGTTTGTTTGGGGGAGGCAGTGGAGCACCAGTTCAAGTTTGCAGGTAACGCCAAATCCGCGGGGACCGGTCACACGCTGCTCGAGGGCAGAGCTGCCACCAGTGGGACGGAGCCAGCCTGGAGGAGGGGGCCAGCAGCGACTTTAGAAGGACAAGCGTGAAGTCCTGCCCCTGGGAAGGAAGAGCCTCTGGCAGTGACACGGGCTGGGGACAGCGCCCCTAGAAGGGACCTGGGGGTCTGGGCAGACACAACCTGAACTTGTGCCCCAGCACCAAAGGCCAACAGCGTCCTGGGCTGTCGGACCACAGGCCCACAGCCAGCAGGTCGAGGGAAGGGATCATCCCTCTCTGCTCAGCACTCGTTAGACCACACCTCGGTTCTGTGTCCTGTCCCGGGGCCTCTAATACAAGGGAGACATCAAAAACCAGGAGCGAGCTCAGCTGAGGGCCACCAAGATGCTCAGGGGACTGTAGCGCTTGCTCTGTGAGGGGAGGCTGAGGGACTGGGGCTTCTTCAGGCGGGAGAAGAAAAAAGGTTGAGGGAGTCCTGGTAGTCACCACCCTACTCCTACAGGGAGGCCGACGGGGAGATGGAGCCAGGCTTGTCCCAGCGGTGCACGGTAGGAAGATGAGAGAAAAGAGGCAAGAGTCAGGCAGGATATAAAGAAAAAACTTTTTCCCCAGGAGGACAGTGCAGCGGGGCCCAGGGAGGTTGTGTCATCTCCATCCTTGGAGGTTTCCCGGACCTGACTGGCCAGAGCCCTGAGCGACCTGGAGGAGGCCGAGCTGCCCCTGCTCCCAGCTGGAGCTTGGACTGGAGACCTCCCGAGGTCCCTACCGACAGGAATGGTCCTATGACTCCAACATATTTTCAGAGTAGTACTAGAAAGGCTGGATGAATTGACAGCAGAATGTACAAGACCGTTCACCCATGATTAAAGTGGATGTGGCGGTAGTTTGGGAAGTGTGAAACCAAAATAAGGAGAGAATCTGATATCCTGTGACCTCCTGCCCCAGAGGCCTGAGATGCAGTGCCTGGGAAGGGCCAGACACAGGCTGCCAGCAGCATGATCCTGTCTGTATCCAGGAAAGGCAAAAGCCTCATGAGAATCACAAAAAATAAAGACACCAAACAATACTATAAGTACTCTAAGTAACATGAGTTTGCATTACTTACTCCATTTTAATAATTGCTCTATGTTAGCTATCAATCTATGAAAATATCCTACCTGTCTCAGTCCCTCTTAGGTCTCCCCTCTTCCTACTTCCCTAAGTGAAGATGCAATTCCTCCTGGGGCAGGCAGCTCAGGAGATGAGGTTCTCCAGGAATAAATATCTGCCTGCCGTGCTAAGGAACCGGTCAGGTTTAGTCCTAGTTAGTAGAGAAATTGCAAAAGGCTTTTCAACTGTAATTCTGTGCTAAAGACTTTATACCCCTGGTACTCCATTTTCTTAATACTGTCACGGGAAACATGTAATTTTCTTCTGGATTAATTTTGGCTTCCTTCTCAGATCACAGCAGCCTAGGTGCAAAGGGCACAAGCACAGCTTAGGAGAGAATTTCAAGCAAGCAAGATGATATTAACCTTTTTCCCTCTAACCTTTTTGAAAGGGTCTGAACTACAAAGCTGTCTGGGAACAGGCAACCTCATCAGCTGTTACTTACTCTGCTCTTCAATGATGCATGAAGTACAGCTGTTAAATACGCCTATTCCTTTCAGTTGGATAGAAGGCACACAGCCCCAACCTTGCATATGCCTGAACAGATGTTACAAGAAACATTCCAGCAGTATATAACCAGCAAGCCAGGACAGATTGGTCTAGTTTTGGTTTGGATTTGTTTAGAGCTATTTGGAAAGGGAGAATAAACAAACACGCTAAAACACAGAAAGAATTTTATACTGAAGAAGATCAGCAAGAGATGAGGAAACGTCTCCAATTAAGTAAAAGGTGGAAAAGAAATCAAATAACTGCACTCTGTGTCCATGGTGGATAGGACAGGAAATCTTGGGTTTAAACCCAAGGAAGCAAGAAAAGATTCTGATTAGCGGCTAAGAAAACCATTTTCAGGTTAAAGTTAACAAAGCAGGACGGGCAAGACCTGCTGGGAGTTTTTGGTCTTTGCATCGACGGCATCTCTCAGAACAGACTGTAGGAAGCATCCGTCAGGAATGCATCACAGATCCTGCCCTGAGGAAAGGATGTGGACTAGATGAGCTCCCAAGGGTACTCCTAGGCCTAGCTTCTGACGGCTCTATGAAATTTCTTAGCCTGACCACTGAGTTTCAGCTAAACATTCACATAATTGCACCAAGAATATACAAGAGAAAAATGTTTTTCATGCTAAGATTGTCTTATTGCTGTTGTATAACCCACTCTGGCTACGTCTACCCCAGTGAACTGAAGAGGGATGTGGGGCAATCCCCTGGCCCCAAGAACAACTGGCACAAACGGGCCGTGGTCCCGTCCTCACGCTCTCCCTCTCACCCAGGTGGGGTTGGCCGCGTTTGAGCTGCCTGCAGGGAACGCTGCGCGGCCTGTGCTGAACGCCGAGCTGTGCCAAGGACGGCCTGGCAGCCTGCTAGCTCCTCCTGAGCCAAAGCTGTGTCAGGGAATTCAGCAGGATGGGTTGACTGAGTTCCAGTTCCTGTGCCCAGTGCTTTGGCAATGAGTAACTCAGTAGCAGAGATGTAGTTTCTCTCTCCACATGCAGTTGTTTCTTGCTCTAAGCACAGGCTTGCTGGCTGAAGGACTGACTGCTTGGAAGGGAAGGAGTTGTGGGACTGGAAACAGATGCTGTTAATGGATGCTATGTGAAGAAAAAAGGCACACCTTCGTTCTCTCAGTGATGGTTTGGCATTACCCATGTTATCAGGCTTTACCTAAAAGTCATTTTTAGGAAGACCGAAAATATTTTAGGATTTGGGATTGGAGATTAATATTGTTGTGATCTGATTGCTTTCTCTCCCTTTTTTTGGACAAGCACCATGACTGCCAGTCTCAGCCATTCTCCCTAGGAAAGAACACCCGAACACAAGTCTCAAAGAGTGAACATTCTTGCTGTGTCTCCCTCAATGGTTCCATTTCCATGATCATCATCTTTCTGAGATGAATCAGGACCAGTCAAGTAAATCAAGGGTGAGGGATGGAAAAAGAAGGTAATTATCGGGGGGGGGGGGGGGGGGGGCTAGAATTTCCATCTCATAGAAGTGTCCGAGTTTAACAGAGAGCACAGCATTTTACCCACGGTAATCAGCGTAGCAGATGGGGTGTGAGGGTATCCACAGCTTAAGCAGACAGGGACTGTGTGTGTGTCGCAGAAGACGGTGAAGCAGGGTAAGAATCGGTGGGACTGAAGCAGAGGAGGAGATCGTTGCTTTTGAAGAGATCTCAGCCCCAAAAAGCCAGCCCTCTGTTCCTCTTGCACACAAGGCTGCTGACCCCGCTCCTGCCTCTCCCTGCTCCATACCACACAGACTAACCCTCTGCACCTAAATTCTGTTCCTTTCTTAGGTCCCAAACCGCCCCTCTCCACTGCAGCTGCAGAAGGACTTCATGACAGTGAATAAAAGAGCAACGACAAAAGAGCAGATGCGATCACTGTACAGGAACGTGAAGTGCTGTACAAAAAGAACTTCCCTAACCTTACATACACACTGGTGGGCCCTAAAATAGAAAATGACAACTCAGGAGAGAGTCTCAATCTCAACAGTTCTAGGAAAATGCCCGCTTTTGGCAGAGTCAAAAAAAGCAAATTGAATGCTAAGAATTGTTACGAGAAGATGAACAAAATATAGAGTACCAAAATGATGCTATACAAAATCAGAAAGCATCTTGCACCCTGAATATGGTGTGCAGTTTTCATTCTCTATTGCAAAAAGCATACAGATTTCCATATGAGGAATGAGAAAATAAAGTAGGACTCTTCAGACTGAAAAAGAGATGTCTCCAGGAGTCGTAAGTGGCAAAACTGTTGAATAAACAATAGTTGTTCATTGCCTGTTTGATAATTAGAAGGAATCAAATAAAGGCATAAGGAGCCTGGCTCAAAACAAACAAAACCGAGTAGTTTTCACAGTGTGATGCTTGCCACAAGGCATTTACAAAATCTGCTTTACCACCCCCCGGGTTAGGCAAATCCACTGAAGAAAATCCCACCCAAGCCAAGAAATAAAAGCCACCTCCTCTTGCTGTGGAGCCCTGAGCACTGCCACACGCCCACCCCGCTTGGACACGCTTCTCGGTGCACGTGCTGCCAGCAGGGCTGGGCACAGGTCACCAGGGCAAACGTGACTGGTTTGATTTGATGGGCCCGCTGTTCTGATTTCTGCCTTGAGGATGAACAAAAGCAAACTGGTGTTCAGTGATCTGGGAGATGCTACAGAGCCACTACTGGTAAAGGTTACAGATGACTTGACAAACTGCGGATTGATGAAATAATGACAGTGCTAGTCTACAAAGTCATTTCCTTGTACAACATGAAAATCAGTCTACACAAACACAGAGACATTTCTTGCACCTAAAAGAAAATGACTTGAGTCATGCTCACAGAAATACAGGAGCTTATAATGGAAATCAGTTGCACTAGAAAGAATTTGGAGAAAACTAGCAAGAAATAACTACCAAGAATTTATGATAACTAGTGAAACGCCACTGCTGGTAAGGGAGCTAATGCACTGTTGAACGAACAAGAGAAGAGCAGTGATCCCATTAATTTCTAATGCAGCATAAATGCTGGAAACTTCTTGGGGATCCTTCAGATCAGAACATGCATCCTTGGAACAAGACATGAAAGCCACACTACAGAATGAGAAGATACTTTGGAAAAAAAAATAAGTACTAAAAGAAACACCACCTAATTTGCTTAGCCATGAGAAGTACGTGACCACAGCGCACAGGCAACTATAGAGGAAGACATTTATCACAGAAAGCAGCTTTTTAACCAGACAATGGCACAATAAGATCTACTCAAGATCGTAACTGAATGCATTCCTAATAAAATCAAAGCCAGGAAAATAAAAGCTAGACAATTTCAGAAAGAAAAAGAACACCACGTGAAAAGAGCGCTTTCTTCTCTCATCCCCTAGAACAATAAAAGGCAAGTTAAAGAAACACAACAGTAAACGAACCCACAGGAATGTCACTGCCACGCACCAGATTTTGCAGGTGTGGAGTCACTGGCTGCCTTGACGGCCTTCAGAAGGACGTGCTGATTAGACGACACGGGCATGCCTGCTCTGCATTGCTGCTGCTGTTGCTTTTGTTGCTGCTGTTTCAAGGCCTGGGGAAGAGGACAGAAGAACATCACCAAAGAGTAATTCAAAATATTACTAGAAGTTATTAGTACACAGCACAAACCGCTTGTTTTACAGCAACTGATAGTTGCATTCCAATTCTAACTACGTCAAAGTTCGAAACGACTTCTGAAAGACATTCAGCTCATGTTTAAATACACGACTAGAAGTAGACAGATTTCCTACCTTGCATCTAAAGCAAAAAGTTAATAGTTGCAGAGCATCTTAAGTTGTGTTGTTTCATGAAAAATGATCTCTAGAGAATGCGAACAGAAAGGATTCCAAATCTGGAGTTGGTTCAAGAAGTAATTATATAAATAACTTCAAAGTAAAAGCAGCATAATGCAATTCATTCCAGCTTCCTGGAGAAGCAAGTAGCAACTACTAAAAACCTTCAATAGAGACACTACCCATTAGGAAAGTTTTTTTTAATTAAGAGAGTACCAAAGATTTAAAACACTAAAGGAAAGAAAATAAAATCCTTTGTTTCAGAAAAGACTGTTGAGGCAACCATAACACATCCTAAAAGGCACAAATGACTAAGACAAGGATGTAAGAAGCCATTTGGTTAAACTGCGGCATTCACTCAAACCAAAGTGTCTGTTTTCAAAAAATGAAATCCAAACCCAAATAAACTTAACAGCAGAATAAATATTGACAGATCAAGCATACTGCAGAATTTCAAAAAAGGAAGTAATGGGAAATGTTGTGTTACGTATATACAAGTGAATGGGACTGCTTACTAGACATCGTGAATATCTTAATAATATTAACAACAATAACAGTAATACAGTTAGAACTAGGAGGGAGAATCAAAATACGCAGGATACCTTCAGAATCTGCCACATGAGGAAAGCAGAAGACAGACTGACTTTCAGTTTGTAAAGACAAAGATGAGGGAGAATGTCAACAAAAGGATACAGACAATGACTACACACATTCAATTCCTATTTTAAAATTTATTATATAGTTCCTATTTAGCCAATTCAACCACGGGTTAAAAAAACACATTCAGCCAAACTGAAACACAGCAAAACTGAAAATCAGTAGGAGGAAGTATCCTCTGCAATGCACAATTAACCTCCTGTTATTGAGGTCAAAAGCTTTTAAAAAAGAGACCTACAAAGAGACCTGGCATTCATATGAGTAACAAAAATCTATAAACAAGTTCAAGAAAGCTTTTTCAAATTTTTCTTTGATTTGAAGATGAACCCCAGGCAACAGTGAATGTCAAGAACTAGCCTATGAAGATCACTAATATGTTCAGGGGATTGCGTGATTCCCATACTGCCATTAGGCAAATCACTTCAAATATTTGAGGGTTTGTATATTCAGTTCATCTCCTATTCCATATGCTCCTATTGCTGCATTTTTCTCGGCTTAGGTAGAACAATTCTGCTTTTGTTCATTGTGTCACCTCAGCTCTTGGTCATGCAGCGCCCGAGGTGCCCACGCCAATGGTGACTGAGGCGTGTGTGGGAAGAGGAGGAAACAATTATTCGTTAGATACCTCTTTTTAAATGCTCTGTCAGCTTCGTACTTATGTGTTCTGTTATAAACATTTGGGGTTTCTTTAATAAATCTAAATTTATATTGAGTCCTGTCAGAATCATAGACTAATTCTGGTGGGACAGGACCACGGGAGGTCTCCATTCCAAGCTCCCCTGTAACACCCCGTAACAGGCAGAGCTCCCCTGCAACACCCCACAACAGGCAGAGCTCCCCTGTAACACCCCACAACAGGCAGAGCTCCCCTGTAACACCCCGTAAGAGGCAGAGCTCCCCTGTAACACCCCGTAACAGGCAGAGCTCCCCTGTAACACCCCGTAACAGGCAGAGCTCCCCTGTAACACCCCGTAACAGGAAGAGCTCTCCTGCAACACCCCGTAACAGGCAGAGCTCCCCTGTAACACCCCACAACAGGCAGAGCTCCCCTGTAACACCGCGTAACAGGAAGAGCTCTCCTGTAACACCCCGTAACAGGCAGAGCTCTCCTGTAACACCCCGTAACAGGCAGAGCTCCCCTGTAACACCCCGTAACAGGCAGAGCTCCCCTGTAACACCCCGTAACAGGCAGAGCTCTCCTGTAACACCCCGTAACAGGCAGAGCTCCCCTGTAACACCCCGTAACAGGCAGAGCTCCCCTGTAACACCCTGTAACAGGCAGAGCTCCCCTGTAACACCCCGTAACAGGCAGAGCTCCCCTTCAACACCCCGTAACAGGCAGAGCTCCTCTGCAACACCCCATAACAGGCATAGCTCCCCTGTAACACCCCGTAACAGGCAGAGCTCCCCTGTAACACCCCACAACAGGCAGAGCTCCCCTGTAACACCCCGTAACAGGAAGAGCTCTCCTGTAACACCCCGTAACAGGCAGAGCTCCCCTGTAACACCCTGTAACAGGCAGAGCTCCCCTGCAACACCCCGTAACAGGCAGAGCTCCCCTGTAACACCCTGTAACAGGCAGAGCTCCCCTGTAACACCCTGTAACAGGCAGAGCTCTCCTGTAACACCCCATAACAGGCAGAGATCCCCTGTAACAGCCCGTAACAGGCAGAGCTCCCCTGCAACACCCCGTAACAGGCAGAGCTCCCCTTCAACACCCCGTAACAGGCAGAGCTCCCCTGTAACAACCTGTAACAGGCAGAGCTCCCCTGTAACACCCCGTAACAGGCAGAGCTCCTCTGCAACACCCCATAACAGGCAGAGCTCCCCTGTAACACCCCGTAACAGGCAGAGCTCCCCTGCAACACCCCGTAAAAGGCAGAGCTACCCTGCAACACCCCGTAACAGGCAGAGCTCCCCTGTAACACCCCACAACAGGCAGAGCTCCCCAGTAACACCACGTAACAGGCAGAGCTCTCCTGTAACACCCCGTAACAGGCAGAGCTCCCCTGTAACACCCCATAACAGGCAGAGCTCCCCTGCAACACCCCGTAACAGACAGAGCTCCCCTGTAACACCTCGTAACAGGCAGAACTCCCCTGTAACAGCCCGTAACAGGCAGAGCTCCCCTGTTAACACCCCGTAACAGGCAGAGCTCCCCTGTAACACCCTGTAACAGGCAGAGCTCCCCTGCAACACCCCGTAACAGGCAGAGCTCCCCTGTAACACCCCGTAACAGGCAGAGCTCCCCTGTAACACCCCACAACAGGCAGAGCTCCCCTGTAACACCCCGTAACAGGAAGAGCTCTCCTGTAACACCTCGTAACAGGCAGAACTCCCCTGTAACACCCCGTAACAGGCAGAGCTCCCCTGTTAACACCCCGTAACAGGCAGAGCTCCCCTGTAACACCCCACAACAGGCAGAGCTCCCCTGCAACACCCCGTAACAGGCAGAGCTCCCCTGTAACACCCCACAACAGGCAGAGCTCCCCTGTAACACCCTGTAACAGGAAGAGCTCTCCTGTAACACCCCGTAACAGGCAGAGCTCCCCTGTAACACCCCGTAACAGGCAGAGCTCTCCTGTAACACCCCGTAACAGGCAGAGCTCCCCTGTAACACCCCGTAACAGGCAGAGCTCTCCTGTAACACCCCGTAACGGGCAGAGCTCCCCTGTAACACCCCGTAACAGGCAGAGCTCCCCTGTAACACCCTGTAATAGGCAGAGCTCCCCTGTAACACCCCGTAACGGGCAGAGCTCCCCTGTAACACCCCGTAACGGGCAGAGCTCCCCTGTAACACCCCGTTATCAGGCCCATCTCGCCCACAACTCCCTGTATTAGGCCCAGTTCCCCTCAGCTCCCCCACGACACCCCACGGCAGCTCTGGCCGCACTCCGCCAGCCCGCCCCTGTCAGGAACCAGCCAACCCGGAAAGCTCTTACTGCCCCGCACCCACCAATCCGGCAGCAGCTTCCAGGCGCCACAGCGGCAGGTGCCTCTGGAGATGGCAGAGGGTCTCACCCTCCCTCAGAGGGTCTCGTCCTCCCTCAGAGGGTCTCGTCCTCCCTCAGAGGGTCTCGTCCTCCCTCAGAGGGTCTCACCCTCCCTCAGAGGGTCTCGTCCTCCCTCAGAAGGTCTCACCCTCCCTCAGAGGGTCTCACCCTCCCCCAGAGGGTCTCGTCCTCCCTCAGAGGGTCTCGTCCTCCCTCAGAAGGTCTCACCCTCCCTCAGAGGGTCTCGTCCTCCCTCAGAGGGTCTCGTCCTCCCTCAGAAGGTCTCACCCTCCCTCAGAGGGTCTCACCCTCCCTCAGAGGGTCTCGTCCTCCCTCAGAAGGTCTCACCCTCCCTCAGAGGGTCTCACCCTCCCTCAGAGGGTCTCGTCCTCCCTCAGAGGGTCTCGTCCTCCCTCAGAGGGTCTCGTCCCTCAACTCCGGCGCACAGCAAACCCCTCCGCCAGCCCCAGCTCGCTGACTCTCCTCTAACCCTGACCTGCGGGGATGCTCCCTCCGTGCCTGTGCGCGTGGGCTCGTTCTGTTCGCTTTGTTTGCCTTCAAGTTGACCTTTTGTTTGCCCCGAGGGCGCCGTGCCACCCTCAATGGCGGGCAGATGTTTCTCGGCGCCCAGGTGCATTTGCACAAAGGGCAGCTCTGAGGTAACACCACCCCCCCTGCACTGCTGAGGGCGGAAACCACCACTTTATTCTACAGAATAGTTGAAAAAGAGCGCAATCCAAAATGGCGCCATTCGGTACCATCAGCACCTCCTTTAATTGCAATTTAAACAGAGCCCTTATGTCACCAGCATGCTTCTCCCTGTCAGCTCCGCTGTGGAGGACAAGAGCGAGGTGATGGCAGCAGGACCAGGCGCTGCTCCTAAGCACCCACCTCTCGCTCTGCACCCACCTACGGTCTCTGATAACGATGTTATCAGGGATGCAATGGGGATGCACCTAATGGGGAAAAATCTGTATTGTACAGAGCTCCCTTCTTCACAGAAAAGGTGACAAAGCAACTTATTCACTGACCAGAGAGATTTTGTAGGGTGTAGCCTAACCCAGCCCCTGCCCTTTGTCATTCCATGCATGGGGCAACAACAGATAAAAGAAAAGTACAATGGATAAAGATGAAAGGCAACAGTATAAACCTTATCAGAGCAGAGGGTGTAATTTCTAACCTTAAAACACCATGATGAGATCTAGATTGAGGAAGGAGATCCTTCCCCTCTGCTCAGCACTGGTGAGGCCACCCCTGCAGTGCTGCATCCAGCTCTGCCCAGAACAAGAGGGACCTGGACATACTGGAGAGAGTCCGGTGAGGGGCCACCAGCCACCGAAGGACTGGAGCATCTCTGCTGTGGGGAGAGGCGGGGGGAGCTGGGGCTGGAGCAGAGGAGGCTCCGGGGGGTTGAATCCACGTCTGTAAATACCTGCCGGGAGGGAGCCAAGGGGACGGAGCCAGGCTCTTCCAGTGGTGCCCAGTGCCAGGACCAGAGGCCACGGGCACAAAATCAGACATTCCACCTGAATACAAACCACACTTTTACTATGAAGGTGACCAAGCACTGGCACAGGTTGCTCAAAGAAGCTGTGGAGTCTCCCTCCTTGGAGATCTGCAGAAGCTGTTTGAACACAGCTCTGGGTGACCCTGCTTGAGCACAGGGGCTGGAACAGAGGGACCCCAGAGGTTCTTTCTAACCCCAACCAGTCTGGGTTTCTGTGAGTTCTGATGGCACTGGGATGGCTGCTCAAGCTAGGTAAGGATGAGAAAAGGTCAGTGGATTGGAGAGGATCAGAGGAGGGAATTAGGGTAGCACCTGCACTTCGCAGCGATAGGTGAGAAACTGCCCATCTTTCTGGATCTGGATTATAAATTTCAGAATCTCAGTGTGGTGGGGTTTTTTTGTATCAGCACACACACTGTAACAATGGGGGCTTCTCCCATGATTGCTTCATCTTTCCAGCAGGATGCACACTGACCCATCTCTGCTAATTTAGATCCAGATATTGCAAACCTCAAACCTGGGATTTTTCCAGACAGTTGTAAAGAATGCAGCCATCTGCTCCCTTACTATACTGCGTGGTGGTGGTACACCAGTGTACATCGTATTATCTGGCTGTATTTTACAGTTCTAACTATGATGTGTTTATGAACTAAATCCTGATCCTTAGTTCTTAAAGGACCTGATACTTATTGTCAATATAGCGGCAGCGTGGTGTTCCAGGGTTAAGAGTTCTCGCTTAGAAATCTGCTCTCTCTTCCTTCCAGTAATGTTATAATTACTTAGCACTTTAGACAGGAGGGCTGAATCCAGCCAGCTGTCTTCTGAAGTGCACGCTAGCAAATAATCTGGGTTGCAGACATAATTAAAAAGATGAAAGATTTCTTCAATTCTTTTTTCACTCAGTATCTTATGTTTTTCCTACTACTCTACTTATAACACTGCTATGTCCTTCCTGATATCTATATTTGCTCATTTGATCTACTTTCTCTAACTTTTTCCGGCCACAGTGACAACCATGTTTAGGAAGAGATGGAAGATGTGATATCAGGTCAGAATGTCAGAATTCCACTGGAACTAAAATTAAGCAAAGGATCAGGCATGCAATTTTCTTCATTTGATCGAAAGCTAGAGCAAACATTAGACTGGTAAGTTAGAACCATCAAACGATTTTGGCGTTCTTTGGCAACACCTTCTTTTTCCTGTGTGCCTGGAAAGCAAGTTACTCACTATGCTACAGATCGATGCTTCTACTCTTGTGTCCTAGAGTTGAGGTCAGAGAGGAGAGCTGTTGTGATGGAAGGTGATGACCATCAGGAAGAGCTTTTTGCCCTGCAGAGAGCTGCAGAAGCGTTAAGTACAAACAGGTATGCTAGGCAGACATCAAGGCCTCCATGTGGTTCCCTATTTCTCTTTCAGTTTTTCTGATTTTTTTTCCCCAAACCAATGAGATGAAGAGTGAAACTGAGAACACTGTCTAAATTTTGGAACTCACTGGCTCTGACATGCTTCATAACATTCAGAGACAGTGCTGGAACAGGGATACTCAGGAAGCAGACATCTCAGAGTAAGAAAGCTGGGAAGTGGAGAAGAGAGGGAGCAGACCCAGAGGAATGAATATAAAGGTGGGGGAAGGCTGGTGGGAGCAGGAGCATGGGGAATTCAGAGACAAAAAGTAGAAGACTGTTAGGCAGGTAAGGACAGAGGCTGGGAGGAGAGGAGAAAAGTAGATGGAGTGTTGGTTTGGAAATGGAGTGTGGGTTTGCCCAGATGTCCCTTCCAACCCGTGATTCTGTGAAATGGGGACCTGCTGACCAGAGAGAATGAAGAGGAACTGCTGAGCACGAGAGGGGAAAGAGGACTGCTCATAACAAACCCTGGGTCTGTTTGATCATGCTCTTTTAAGAGAAAAGCCTTTGCGGATGTTGGAGAGAAACAACTGCCAGCCAGGCTTAAAGAGGGAGGAGGAAGAGAAAGCAAAGAGTATAATTAATATCTTGCTGAATTAGTGAAAAGCAATTTACTGAGGATCAAAATGAAAGTGGAAGCTTGACTCTGAACTTCAGAAGAAAATCTGCCTGAAGTGACAACACAACATTACTTCTTTATTGTGGCTATCAGCAGCAAGCAACATCACAGTAACACGGACACTTCTGTTGAGAAACAGCCAAGTGGGAGAAGAAAGAAGGGAGAAAATTCCTTAAAACTAGCACCTCGTTTTGACATCAACTCCACTCTCTCTTGCTGGAAACAAAGCTCCAGTCTGTCCAGCTGCCTTATCTTCCCCTGTAATATTCTCCTCAATAATACGCCCTAATTAGATCCTCCTCTCTCACTGCAGATCCTTTTCCCTAGGCCCCAGGCACCTCCGTTCGCTGAATGCCATCCCGAGTGTCGCTTCTCAGCTGGAAAAAGTCAGGAAAACAGGCTGGGCTGGAAAAGGTAAATCCTATCTGGAACACACTGCGATTTCATCTGTCTGTGACAGGCTTCCATAATCCCTGGACTAGCACCTCCTCTGCACCTTGATTCATGACTCCTTACAGGTTTTTACTTTACGAAGGAGTAAATCTAACCCTGATAAAGCATTTCCTTCCTAAGGCTCATGGAAAATTAAACAATGCAGTTGGGGAAACACCTGCAAATAAGACACTCAGGAGACTAATTCATCTTGCCTGTTTCATTAGGAGAAACAAATCATTTGAAGCGCAAACACTTACCCGTCCCATCCTGCGTGTACACAATTAACACTATCTACACAAGAGTCATTCCCCAAGCATGGAAAATAATCAGTCTTCCTCTTCTGTAACACCCAGTGGAGGTGCAACACAAAGTCAGTGTGTGCTGTCCTTCCCCTTCTTCCCTCCACAGATACACACACCACACCCACAAAACTCCTTGGAAGGGTAAGTATGCCGCTAACGAGGGGAAGAAGAAGGTAGATTTAATTATTTTCCCCAAAAACCCTTCCATTTGCTAAAAAGACTGTAGAAAGCTAAGCAGACTCATCAAAAGGTTGAGTGAAAAGAAATAACATCTTCTATCCATTCTCTAATAATTAAAAAATGTCCAAGTGCTTATTTAGGGAAAAAGCAAAAGAACTAAATAGCACAGTATTTTGAATCACCTCTAAGAGAGAGGGATGTTTTAGCAAAGCCTTGCTTATGAGACAGCCACCACTCACACAACCTCCCTGCAGAGCGCGGTTTCACTGAGAAAGATGATTTACCAGAGAAATAAAATTGCTTCAGTGATCCCCAACCCCGGTTTCAGACGAGGCTGCTTACCTGTTTGAGTGCCTTCTTGCTGTGCTTCTGGGATGAGGAGATGACTTTGCCTGTCTGGATGGAAGGTGATGGGCAGCCTGACTGAGGAGAGGATGTCTGTGACAGTCTAGACGACACTACAAGGAAAAAAAAAACCAAAAAACAAAAAACATAATGAAAACCCCCATAATCCGACCTTTATACATTTGCCTGCAGCACGTTAGCCCGTCCTCGCCACTTCAGATCATCTCAGGAGGCCCATGAAAATTGCACCTCTAGCAAATGTTACTTTTTGCATGAAGAATCGTTTCCATTTCCTCCCCACCACCAAGGCAGCTGTTCTCCTCTGAAAGCCAACAGCATTTCCTATGACCAACTTCGGATTTTTCATTGCTTGTCCATCTCTTCATTATTCTTGTAAAGAGCTGCTATAAAACAACCCTGCGGCTTGAGAAAAAGCTTCACATTCACGCCAGTTTAGCCAACTCAAATCCAACTGAAAATACCGACACAGGCAATGGCTGTCTTCACGCGGAATGACCCGCGGGCAGACACCTAACTGATAGCAGTTTCTGATCAGGTTAAATCTGAATCCCACGCAAGAGCGGGAAGATAAATGACATGCAAAGGAAGTGGAACATCACTCACTCCTTTCTAAAAAGAAATATGGGAATATACAGGATATCCCATTAAATTAACGTATCCTCAGTGGATGAGCCTAGATGCTTAAAGAAATCTAGTCCGAGCCATATGGAGTCCTAGAGCAGAAGGCTTCTAGTTTAGACTTTAAAAACCAACAAACCAGGGATGGGAATTAAATAACGGCTAGTAACATAGATTGAATATACCTGTTTGGCACAGGATATGCAAAATATTCTGCTCTGGCAGCAGTGGGGTGATGATACGTGGCCAGCCAGGGAAATCATTCAGTCCCAGTCTCTCGTAATCATGGTTTTGCCACTGTTGTCTTGGCAAATACATACTGGACTGGCCAGCAGCCAAGGTTAACCCACCCCATGTACCCATATGGAAATCCAGGTAATTGGTGCCCCGGGCCAGTCAAAGCTGTTTAGCTGCTGGGACTGAATTAAAAAAAAAAAAAAAAAAAAAAGACAAAACCAAAATGACATTAACTGGAAAGCCTCACCCTGCACGATGGTCGTAACAAAGCAGCACTGGGTACGCCCAGTCAGGAAGAGCAATGGGACACAACAGCACCTGCACGGCACTCTAAAGGTGCATCTGCGAGCCGGGGGCTGGAGGCAGCCGGTTAGCAAGAAAACCACCCAAGTTAGCAAACCCATGGTCTGCATATGTATCCACAGGTGAAATTGTGTAGATAGTAATGTCTACTGAAAGACCAAGGAAATAAAATGAAGAGTAAAAGAATGTTTCATCAAGGGGGGGTGGGTGGTGACCCCGACCGTAAAGGAGAATAAACAGATTCAGATGTGAACTATTTAAATTATTGCTTCCTAAAGCAGTTAGTTCTAGGACGCCCAATGCTAAGTTAGCATCCTTCTGCAACAGAAAGGAGTTAAGAGCTAATGACAACAGCTCTTCATTAATGACAGCCAGAGTGTGATCCCGCTGTCTCCACAGAGAGGGGAAGCTCCTGAAAATAACGCTGTGACAGTAAGCACCAGAAAGCAACATTCCGATGAAATGCATAGAACGAGTAACAGCAAATTATAAAAATTCAAATTCTCACATGCAGCACAGGCATTGAATGAAAAGAGCAAGGTTTTCAGAAAGCATACACAGCAGAGATGAGGTAATATCAGACTCTCAAATGTCATTAAAAACAACAACAATGAAAAAGTATGGTAAGAAACCGGTAATTTAAAAGTCACTGACAAGATTACTGTCCCCAGATGATACATGCACATGATAAAAGATGACACGGGCACACAGCAAGCAGAATTACCACTTAAAAAGCCAAAAAAAAAAATCCTGATGTTATATCAGGACCTGAAAAGCAAAGGTTGTATCTGTACTTTGAAACAGCAGTAAAAATATTTGTAAGCTTGCATTTGTCTTTTGATTTGGTTGAAACTGCAGTTAAGGAAGAAGAAGAAATTGCTGGAAAAGATCAGAGTCTGATCAGCACCTGGAGAAGAAAAGCAGATCTCAAACTCCCTGGAATTCTCTGACTGCATCGATAAGGAGAACTGGAAGAAAATAAAGTCTGTTGCTAAGAGTCCACTTACACTTCCAGAGATTTGCAACAAAAGGCTTCTAAAAATTATTTGGCTATTGTTTAAAAACAAAGAATTGGCGTAACTGATGCTGGGTGGGACAGAAGGCAAAGAACAGAATCAAATGATGATCAGGCAAAAAATCGGCAAAAATTCTGCAAGGTCACGTACTAAATAGGGAGCAGTTTAGTGCTTAATGACAGACTGGAAGGCAGGAAACAGTAAAATATTAAATATTTATTTTAGTGAAGGTCAGAAAGAATTGTGTGGCAATTCAGAGAAATATAACCCAGAGAACAAAAGACCAAAAATACGAAGTAAAACATCAAAAGAGGAATAAGTAAATTTCTGGAGGGGAAAAAACCCAAGATACTCATAGAACCTGCGGTAATCTAAATGAACTGTGTCATCACGGGAAAGGGATCAATCACGGCTGAGAGGTGAATGAAAATGGCCAGCAAGATGATGCAACGTGTGAGGCCGGAGAGATGAACTACGTAAAATTCTTACGGCGTATCCACCTCGACTGTCCTGCATACTGCGGTGCTGATCACACGCCAGCAAAACGCGAGGGGAGCCAGGACAGAAAGCGGTTAAGAACATGGAAAAAGCCCCAAGATACTGAGCTATTTTCCATTCTCCTCGAAGGAAGGACCACGGCTGAAGCACGCAGGATGAAACGGCGCAGGTTCGTGTCCGGGCGCCCCGTCCCTACAGGGGAAGCGCCGTGCCCGTGGCCGCCGGGGAGCCTGGGCGCAGCGGAGCCGGCGGCCTGGCTCTTGCCCCAGCCAGCCAGGGACGTCCCCAGGCCACCACTGCTGCAAACACAGCCCCCGGCTGGGCAAACGCCGGGCCCCCATCCTCCTAACACTCATCCTCGCTCGTCGCTGTTAAACACGAAGGAAAGGCAAGTTCGGTTTAACATTTCAAACCCGGGCAGCGCAGCGGAGTGACTGTTACTCGTTTTGAGACATTTGAATGGCAGGAACATAAACCACATCCTCTTCGAAGCCTACCACTGCTGAAACTACAAGTTCTGCATGAAATAGAAACAGTAAGCCAAATACAGGCTACTCATCTCCAGTCTCATATTCTATTCAGATTTTAATTTTGATGCTGTCTTCGAATACAGAAAACTACTATTTTAAAACCAGGTATGGCAGCAGAGTCTAAGATCCACGCCTGGGAAGACAACCCATCCCTGGAGCTGACACAATAAAGCCGCATTATGGTATTTTGCACATCCTCTGACTGTGTAAAAGCCCTCGGTGCCACAACGGCCGCTGCGTTGGACTGACAGCTGTAACCACAACAGATTCTCAAGAACAAACCGGAGAACTTGAGAAAGCCAAGTCACAGCTGCCCGAGCTCAGCTGCGGGCCCCCGAAGCGAAGCAGAGGACAGACGGGAGGATAAACCTGTGAGAATTCATCATTTACATTATATATTGGGTCCTTGGACTCCAAAGCTCTCAGAAAGGTTACATCCTTTTAAGAACTTTGGCTGCAGCCAAGCGGAGGTACAACACAAAGACGTGTCTGTATAGAGAAGTATTCAAACTCCCATAAGGATGAGGTTTGACAAGCTGAGTTTGTTTCCTTTCGATTTAAATAGAAATTCAATAAAATTAGTTCTGTCTTCACTTCAGGCTTTCTTACAACTTGAAAAATATCTGGAGCTGAAATTATGCCTCTTGATGCCCTTAAATCCTAAGAGCTCTTTCAGAGAGAAGCTGCAGAAGTAGTTACAGAAAGCAGCGCATCCAGGAAGACACTGGTTTTAAAATGCTCAATGAGTTGCTTTGCTCTGTTTCTATTTGAGTAAGAACTTCCTTGGTCAGCTAAAGATTAGGGAAGACTAGTGGCCAGCCTCTGACAGAAAAGAATTTCAGTAGATTTTGTGATTTAGAACCAGCAAACAGAATCCCCTCATCCAAAAGGGGCATATGAGAGATGGGCTGGAGACGTCACCTTGATAATAAATGCTAAGGACAGAAACGTGACTCAAGGGCAGGGAGGGAAAACACTCGAGAGTGCTGGCTCGCAGAAGCAATTACACTTCTCCCTAGGCTCCCTTGCCAGGATAGCTGAAAACCAAAAACCCCGTAACTCCGTACACTCAGCCTGAAGCGCCCACCCCAGCTGGTTCGTTCACGACGTTTCTTTGCTTCTTGCTGGCGGTTTGGCTGGGAGAGGGGTTTGCCAGGTGAAATTTTAACAGTTCTCTAAGATCAAAGTGGATGAGATAAAGTGGAACATGTGTCAGCCAAACCCCATGAACCCTGATTTGTTAGATAATCTAAGGATGGATCCAATATAGTCCCATGTTCCAGCTGCAAGAATAAATACTGGAGGAAGAGCCATCTGCAGTCAATTACAGCTGCAATTTGTGGGACAGACTCCGTTATACTTTAGACTTCTTACTTGAAATGTCACTGACAAGGGCATTTCTTCTGAGAAATGAAATTCTAACAGAATTTTAATTGTGTTAAAGGTCAATTACATTAGAAATTTCAGTCTGGCGAGATCTGATGATGTTTTACAAGCTACTGGGTTCCCTTAAGATTTGCAAACCCTAAACCACTGGTCAACCCCATTTTCTTATATACCTTTGTACAGAAACTGTGTTAACAGAAGCAAAGAGGAGTAGTAAGATTTATTTAACAACAGTTGATTGGAGAAGATCAGCCGTTAGTTCTTTTAGAAGAATTGCAGTAATTTGCTGCAAATGCTACCCGCAGGATGCAGCCTGGATCCCTTCTAAGGGAAGACAGGGAAGGCTGCGCAGTTGCGTCGAGACGCTGCCTCGTGTCTTTCCTTTGTAGAGTCCCGGCTCAGTTAACGCCCAGGACTTTCTGCTTGCTCGAAGGACTGCAGGGATCCAGCACAGCCTCAAACCAGGCAACTGAAACACGGTGTGAGCACACGCCCGCTGTAACA